CCAGCGTAATCGCCGTCGTCAAAGGATTGATCCAAAGGGACGACCCTCTTAAATAATTCAGGCCTGGTGGCCAGTGTGGATACTGCCGCGACGTACCAACAATCACCTGGTGGATTTAAAAAACATACAAACACACATACAGACACATACAAACAAACATACAAACAAACACATACAAACAAACACAACACTACATTACCTAATAATCCTTGATCTAAATCAAAGCGCGAAGCACTACCGACGATAAATTTCGGATATCGAATTAATTCCTGTATGTGTGTGTGTGTGTGCGTGTATATATATTATTATAATTATAATTAATAATAGTTTTACTGTGGGTCTCTGCCAGTAAATGGAGGGATCATTCTTACTGAAATAGAGGGATCTGGGAATGGCCGGAAACTCCGCGTCCTCGAACAATCTTCCGGATCTCAGTAGTCCGGATTTTAGTCTCGCATATTGACTTTCCATATTTCATTAATTATACTTATTAATATTATATTATATTTAAATAATATATTATTTTATATTGCTACAACTATTGTCGTTACAGCATTAACATTTTTACAATCTTATAATCAAAAATTTTGCATAAATATGCTTAACTATAATATTAATAATTACTAACAGCAAATAAATAAATAATAATAATTAATAATAATAATATATAATAACAACAACAACAATAATAATAACGGTTTAAATGTTATCGACTTAGTCTTCCTCCTTTATGGAGATTACTTAATCAGTATGTAAATCTTTAACCACACACTCAGCCGTATATACATCATAAACACACGTACACACACGCACTCACGCACAAACAAACACACACACATATATAGCTACTAGCATTCGTTAAAACTTCCCATCTCACCTGTGCGATCTCATTAATACAGGTAACTTAGCCTATATTTCAATGGTTATCTAAACAATTGTCCGGGTGATATAGAGAAAAAGAAGAGGAGAGATAGATAGATAGATAGATAGATAGATAGATAGATAGATAGATAGATAGATAGGTAGATAGATGGAGAGAAAGAGAGAGAGAGGAGAGAGAGAATTGTATGATTGTATGAAAAGCCGACTGATTAAATTATTTTTGAAAAGATATTTAATAAATATAAAATACTTTAAAGTAGAGTATCGTATACATGTATGTACGTCTGTATCTTTTCACGCGGGTACGATTTAAAACGAGGTTGGAGAGACTAGACTAAAACTTTGAGAATACATTTCTAGAATAAAAACCCGACAAGACGTTAAATAATATAAATAATAATAACAAATAATATTAAAATTGTCATCATCATTATTAATTATTATGAACTTAAAGCTGGAAGAGATTTTTCTTTTATTTTAGCCTCAAAGTGGTCCAGTCCATCACTCTCCATAGCCAGTCTCATGCATATGAAAAATTCATTCAGATGATGGTGGTTATGTCTGGAATATGAATTAAAAATATTAACGTTACACTCACACGTACGCACACGCACACACGCATATACATATACATACACGCACACACACACACACATGCACATACACACATTGATAAAAGTATGCTCCCAAGAAGTTCTTTAGTTAGTAGAAGGTGCCGTATGTAGGACCTTGCATGGTTCTTGCATGTGTAACACGTACATCTGCTTAATATCGGCCTATCGTCGTGGGTGTATCTGAAAAAGTAGGCGGAGCCGAAAACAAAAATAATTTTAGTTGCTATTTTTAGAATTTTTAAAAGTAATTTCCGTTTACATTTGAGCCGAAACTAAATTTGATTGAAATTAGGAACTTGGCTTCAGTTAGGAACACAATGTTAGAATCGAGGTCATCCCCAGAGGTAGCCAGGTCGTGACCTTCAACTTCCAAGTTCAATGTCAAGGCCGCCTTTGACTCACAAGCCCAATAAGCGTATCTGTAAGATGAATACACATACATACATACAAACAAACAAACAAACAAACATACGTACATACATACACACATACATACATGCATGCATCTATAACAAACACACACCTACACGTACATAGACAAACAATACAAAGAAACATAAATAAATACATACGAAGAATCAAAAACATCAAGATGACATCTGACTGCTTGTATGATTTGCAGTGGAGTGAATGAACCAGGCAGGATTCTCAACTTATCCTCTGGAACCTTTTCCTGCTCGTTGAATGAATGAATGAATGAATGAATGAATGAATGAATGAATGAATGAATGAATGAATGATTGAATAGATAAATTATTGTATGAACAAATGAATAATTAAATAAATGAATGAGTGAATAAAAATATCATTGAATAAATGAATTAAGTAATGAGTGAATGAGTAAATGAATGAATGAATGAATGAATGAATGAATGAATGAATGAATGAATGAATGAGTGAATGATTGAGTAAATAAAAGAAACAAAAGTAAACAAACGAATGAAAGAATAAACGAATAAAAGAAATGAATTGACAAACTCACAAACACAACGTCAATGAAATCTTTATTATAGTCAAAATCCATCTTAAATGATTCAGTCCCAAAATTGTGAAAACCTGACAAGCTATAACCTAAATTTTTAAGAGAGCAAAACGAAGATAAATAAACTTGATATGATAAAAAATACTTAACAAAAACAAAGATAAATCATATTTTAAAATGAAAAAAAATTCCTTCAAATCCACCGAAAACTTGGTCGAATTGAGATACTCTAGCGGCATAATCTGCCCTCTTCTGCCTGTTGTAACCGCCAATCAACGGCGCTATCAATCTCGACCCTTTTAAAACCTTCATTTAGTAAAAATAAAAAGTTAATTTAAATTTTAAATGATAAAATAAACACTGAATTAAAAACCAAAAATGAGTAAAAGAATGGATGAGTATAAATTTGAACAAACGAGAGCTAACATAAAAACAATTAAATACCCAGTACTGAAAATATAAAATTAACGATTGAATGAATAAATGAGTGAATGAGTGAATGAATTAATTAATTAATAGATGAATGAATGAATGAACGAAATAAGAAAAATGGTGAAAAACTGACATCCGATTTATTGAATCTTTCTATGCATCTCTTCAGAAAATTAAACGACTTCTCAGTGCATTTATCGATCTTCTTGTTAGTAGCACTTACATCAGAATAATCCTCGCATAGAATTTCAACTATGGAAGGCCGAAGCGATTCAACATAATCCACGTAGTCCTCTGCCTCAAACTTTTTAGAAAAAATTATAGAAATTATTATTATTTTTGCTGTTGTTGTTATTGTAAGTCAACCTACCACATACTTTCCACCCAACGACCACACAGAGAGCCCCTGATTGCCCTTGCTGTAGCCTGAGGTCAAGGTCAAACTTGGATCCCGTGTGGAACAGTATATGGGCTGGTTCTTGAATAAATTAACATGTTAATGAGTCATAAATTTGCCTGTTATTGAGTCGCAAATTTGCATGTTCACTAAGTAATAAATTTAAATATCAGAGAGTTGTAGGGAGGTTTACTCTGAGTGTGAATAAATTTATAAATTTGCATATTTATGGCTCATAGCAAGGTTCTTAAGAGAGAACTGAATTGATAATTTCTAAAATGAATGATAAAAAATCGTTTTATTAATATATATCTAATAGACAATTAATTAATTAATTATTAATTAATTAATTAAAAAATTAAATAAAATAGTAATTGAAAAAATGTTTAAACCTTCATATTTGTGAAACCAGACAGACCCTGACCGAATGATGTTATTGCGTCTTTGGCATGAACACTTTAAAAAATTAGAAAAAATGTATTTAATTTACAAATTATAAATATAATAATAAAAATTATTATTAATAATTATAATTAATATTATTATTAGTAAATCATTTCATTCATTCAATACGCACAACTGATTCAAAGACATTTGTAATATAGACGGCAGAAGGCTACTGTCTTCTAAAATATCTTTGGTCATGTACGGAATCTGCCCTAAAAAAATAATATTAATAACTTTTAAATTAAGACATCAAACAAATGTATTACACATACATTAATTATGAATTCCTTGACAACATCACACACACACACACACACACACACACACACACACACACACACACACACACACACACACACACACACATACACACAGTAACAAAGTTTGACTTCTGACTACAGAGCAAATCTTATCATACATGTTAACTTTCTCTCTCTCTCTCTCTCTCCTCTCTCTCTCTCTCTCTCTCTCTCTCTGTCACTTCATTTGTTGAAGAATCAGAGTAGTACAGCCATTTTGATCTTGGCACTAAGACTAACTAAAAGCTAAACAGAAACACTAAAGACAAAAACATGTGACAAAGCAAAAAATGCAAACACAACAAATATAAACAAATCAATATAAAATGAAAGTTGTAAACTATAATATAAATTATTCAAAAAAATTATAAAGCGAAGGCGATCAGTGATTTGTGATGGTCTGATTGATCATTGATCATCATTATTCATTAATCAGGTCAGATCACCAATCAAACCAAATCTTCAAGTTCAAAATCAAATACAAATTATTTTAGCTCACCTCCTCCGGTATAAAAAATACAAGCAGGCGTCTTAAATACATTGCCTAACTCATCTTCTAATTCACCTAATCGGTATTTTGAGGCCGATTTACACAACCTAAAATTCATTTTTTACCGCTGGGACAAACATTTATTGATAACAAAAACTTAAGTTAACTTTTAAAACAATTAAAAGTGAAAAAGTTATAATATAGTAAAATAAATTGTCTTTTTTGAGCAAACCAAAATTTAAGTATATTAATTTAAATGTTAATTATGTATATTTTTATTTAACAAATACAACTATTAAATTAAATTTTACACATTTTTTTGACTTTTTCTCAACATTCTATTTTTAGATGCACTTTTCATAGATTTATTATCTAGATTCATTTTTTAATAGCAAGCAAAAAATTTGAATGATGCTTTTTTCTACGTTTGCCCCTCGGTTTCTGAATTCTTGTAAATTTTTTAGCTCAAAAATAAATTTTATTTTTACAAAAAATTTACTTAATTATAATTTCAAATCATTCAACACTGTCCGATCAGCCAGCAACAAAGAAATTTTATTTTCTAAAAAATTTTCTCCTAATTATTTTAATTCTCAGAATTCTCATTGTTCAAAAAGCTCTGAAATTCTCATCTTTAGTTATAACTCAGACACATTCTATAAAGTTCTGTCGGCCTTTGGGATACTGCAGACGATATTTTGGATCAATTTGTCATCCTTGTCTCTGGTTGAGGTAAAGTCAGATAGAGATGTATCATTTTTGTCGGAATTTCAGCAGAAACATAAAAATAAACTGGCTGGGGGAATAATATTGCTAGGTTGGGGAATAATTTTTATAACTTGTTGATGTTTTTTTTATTTTGGTATTTATGATAGTAACTTACTAAAATCAAATGACTATTGGCTTTTCATCTCAATAGACTTAAACTTCTCAAAATGATTGATTAAATGATTAAAATATAAAGGTTAGGTTTTTTATTAATTTTAATCAAACTATGTCTTATTTGACATTAGTTCAAGTTGAACAAAATTAAGTTAACCATGAATATTTAAATAAATTTTTCAACCCAGGTGTCCTAGTCTTGTTTTTCTCTCTGATGTACCCACTAAGAACAGTGAAAAAGATAGCATTACTGAAAAATAACAAAGAAATTCAACTATTCACTTATTCTTTCTTTGGAAAAACTCGTAGTTTAAAAGTGAATCTAGATGATATCAGTTGCAAACAGTCGAGGGAGGCCAAGGGTAGCCATCTTCCTATGAAAATTAGAGGGAAATTTTTTTATTTTCTACTTGATAAAAAATCAGGAACTTTTCATGAGCCCAAATTATTTGACCAAGTTGTCGGACTCAATAGATCACTTGCCTGATCTGTTTATTTTTAGTTTTTCATTATTTAATGTTTTATTTTTTGTGGTTTTTTAATTCAAATCAATGAAATAAGTCTTTATTTTATAAAAATCATGGCTTGGAATGTATGGTAAATCAAATAAATATAATTTTTATAAAAAACTAAATCAGATTAAATAAAATAACGTTAAAAATATTTTAATAAGCAATAAATAACAAACGTATTTCATCAATGAACCCATCATCATCTTCTCGTACTAATTTTGATTCTAATATATAATTAAATAACGTGTTTTTTAAATAAAATCAGAATAAATAAATAAATTATCGATCTTTTTCGAGTTCGTCACTTTACAATCTCTCCTTCTTGATGGTTTTATTTTTAACTGAGGCCAACATGAGGCCTATGTAAGAGGTCAAAAGGTCATCCATCTTGTAGCCCTGCACAGAGTGAAAATTATACTTGAACATTATCACTATTGGCATTGTCAGTAAAAGTAGACTACTGCAAATAATAGGGATATGCGACTAAATTAACGACAGTTTTTGGACCAGTGCAATGCGCATATCGAAATTTTAATTATAGGTGCTACTACTACTGCTGCTGCTACTACTACCACTACTGCTGCTCCTATTACTACAGCTACTACTACCACTGCTGCTGCTACTACTACTACAGCCATTACTACTACTGACCAAGACGGTTTCACAGAGTAACTTGTTTCCTTTAACGAGACTCCCGATGGTCATGTGGAAGTAGGATGCTCCGCTGCTCCAGTTTGATATCTTCGTAAAGGGATACGTCGCTAGGATATCCTATCATGATTGGGATTGCAAGTTATTATTGTGGTTATTATTATTCTTATTTTTATTGTTATTATTATTGATGTTATTTGGCCAACCTTAGAGTTAGGGTCAATTAGATTGACGCCCTGTTTGTTGATGGCCATCAAAAGATTCTTTGGCAGTGATGAGTCAGTACTTTGCTGAATGACGTGAGTGAGTTGGGATGGAATTTTTTTCAAACTTTAAAATCTTAACTAATTAATGAATTAATTCGTTCATTCGACTATTCATTCATGCATTCATTCATTCATGCAATGCATCTTAACCATTACACCACCATGCCACATTGTCCAATAAATTAATTAGTTATTCAATTAATTAATTAATTAATAACTTTAATATCAAAGAACGCTGATCCGAATGTGGGCCAGTAGTACAATTGTTTGAGGAAGGCCACTTTTGCCTCTTTTTCAGGCATGTTACTGCAATCTTTAAATGCCGACTGTATTTCCTGCGTAATTAATTCATCAGTTAATTGGTCGATTAATAAGTTAATTGGTTAATTAATCGTTTAATTAATCTGTTAATAGGTATTTAATCTATTATTATATTATTGTTACTAACGTTTTGCCATTCGTTATTGCTCATGGATTTGTGCAAGTTTATCGGAATGGTCTCTTTTAACAATTTTCTGTTTTGACGACGACGACGATGATGAGAAAGATGTTTGTATTGATGATGGTGATGATGGTGAGTAGGAAAATGATGATGATGGTGGTGATGATGAAGAAGATGATGGTGATGAGAAAAAAGATGATGATGATAATGAAGAAGATGACGACGATGAAGATGAGAATGCTGATAGTAATAATTGTCACAACTATGGCGTTGAAGACGTTTTAAAAATGAGATTTTATTTATTTAATTATTCACTCATCCACTTAGCCATTTATTCATCCATTCGTTCATCCTTACCATCCATCCATCTAAAAAATATACCGACTCGGCTCCGAGACTCGCTAATGCATCCGGTTTGCTACTGTATTTAACCGCCGTGATGAAACCGGCCAACTTCAGCGCATCGTCTACCGTGCACTTGTGATATCCCAGCAACAGTTTCGGCAATTCCTAATATTTTTTTATCAATTTTTTTTGGAAAATTTATTTTCTTAAAATTGTGATGAAATTTTTGTCATTCTCGATGCAATTTTGGCACAATTAATCAGTTCATGAATATTTATTCATAATCTAGGCTGACCTGGTAGTAATGAAATCTGACGTCTGCGTTGACGTCGTAGCCAGGAACAGTGCTCGACCAGAGCTTTTTCATGAAGAAGACCTGAATAAATTATGATAATGAGGTGTATTGATTATAATTATTATGCTAATTAGATGGTATTTTATGTTTTTTATGAATCAGCTGTCGTTGATTTATTGCTAATTCTCCAAGCTGTCAACAACAATACAATACACAGAACTTCAATACTCGCGTTACACACGCACACACTGCATGTCACAGGCGGGAAATCTTTGCAGACCATGACGTCATAATTAACTATTAGCAAATTTACTTGATAATTAAACTGAGTGCCGGTTCCCATCGTTCCTTTGCTCTTGTTTACCCACTCCGTCAAATGCTGGACGAAGTCGAAAAAGAAGTCACCTTCCGGAATGCTGATCACTGATTGGTTGGTTGATTGGTTGGTTGATTGGTTGGCTGATTGATTGATTGGTTGGCCGATTGGTTAATAGATTTTTTGTTTGATCTATTTATGAAAGAAATTATCTACTGGGGAACGAACTAATAAATGAATGAACAGCACCGCTTCAAAGAAACTCCACCCCATCCCATAAAAACACCCACATGTATCCCAAAAAGACTCCCACGCAAACCTTTATCAGCCATCTTGATGAACAAGCTAAACCCTTCAGCCGTTTTCAGCTTCAGCTGCTCAGCTAAGCTCTCGCACAGCTCTTTAGCGTACATATTCGAGTCAACGACGCAGTTGACGTCTGTCTCGTCGGGGAATAAGATCCTCTGCTTTATGATTGGTTCATCCATCTGACTGGCTTTGATTTCTACTGGATGGGGAGGGTGTTTTCTACTTCCGCTTCTGAATGTGATTGGTTGGTTGAGTTAATGAGTGATTGATTCTCTCTCTCTTTTTCTCTCTCTCTCTCTCTCTCTCTCTCTCTCTCTCATTTTACAGCAAACACACAGACACACACACAGACAGACGAACAAACTCATACACTAACTTGATGATCTTATTAAGCCTGGTTAGGCAGAAAGAGGCCATGTTGATTTTTGTAGTACGGCACTCAAGAAAGGATTTCAGCTCCTTGCACAAGTTGGTACTAGGTGCAAAACTACCCGACAACAGCCACAACAACTGCCAGTAAATCTTCTCGCTGGCTCTGTAGGTTATGATAATGATTATGGAGATGTGGTTATGATGATGATGGGGCGATGACGATGTCATCATGATGGTGATTTTTGTGGTGTTTGTAATGGTTGTTAAAATGATAATGATAATTATGATGATGACGTTAATTATGATGATGACGTTAATTATGATGATGACGTTAATTATGATGATGACGTTAATTATGATGATGACGACGATGATGATAAAGCTGATGATGATGATGACGACGACGACGATGATGATGATACGTACGGGTTCCTATTGAAGGTAAGCTGTTTAACAACTTGGCAGTATATCTCATCCTTCATTGAATCCTGAAATTAAAATTATCCTCCTCCTCATCATCGTCATCATCATCGTCATTATAATCATAATCATCATCAGTACCACCACCACCACCGTCATCATCATCATCAGCACCACATCATCATCATCATCACTAACGTTATCAATAGCTGGCTTGAAGACGACGTAGTAGAGTTCTAAATATGGCACAACCTGCTTGCTAGGGTGGTCTCCGGCATATTTCATGATGGGTGGAAGATAATAAGGTCAAGGAAAGGTCAAGGTTAAGATATGTGTGTGTCAAGGTCGGCTGGATGATGGTGATGTGATGATGTGAGTGGGTGGATAATGATGATGATAGTAATATTGAAGATGATGACGTAATGATGATGCTGCTGCTGATGATGGTGATGATGGTAAGAACGACAACAAACCAAAGACACAAATAAAAAAAGATATTCAAAAATGAATCGCAGGCAGCCGCATAGAGTTCCTCATCGTTCAGGAGTTTCTTGAGGAGAGGGCCTTTCAGGGGTTGAGTGGAATGCCTCCACAACGATTCCTCGGCCTTTCTTCTTATGGTGGCTATTGTCTTCGTCAGGGTTTTTTTCGGAGGTGGTCTGGAAAGTTAGATGGGGTGAAAAATTGTTGAAGGGAACTGTTTAAAGTTAAAGTTTCTGTTAATGTTGTTTATTATTCATTCCTCTAGTCGTTAATTCGGTTATTCATTCACCCATTCGTTCATTAATTTTTTCACTCATTTATTCTTTCATTCATTCATTCATTTCCGGCTCATCGTGTCATCAACATTACCTGAAATGATCAAATGAGTAGGTCTCGAGCGTGCTGTAAGAGGACGATGACGACGACGATGATAATGTTGAATCATCAAATCCAGAATCCGAACCGTTGTACATGTTTTGAGGTTTGTTCATGAACATTTTCTGTGTGTGCGTGCGCGCGTGTGTGTGTGTGTGTGCGCGTGCGTGCGTGTGTGTGTGTGTGTGTGTGCGTGTTAATTATTACTTACCAAAATATCGACAGTGGGCTTGGTGATACAGGGAAGTATGTAAACACATTCAGCTGGGAAGTCTCCGCTTTTTTGTGAGCTGTTGCTCGTTCCGGAACACCAACCTGTCGTCATTGCCGATTCGCCATTGGTCTTCAAGGTTATAAGGTCACCCTTTTTTAAGGTCAGGAAGCTGGGGTCATCACCTGAAGTGCCGTCAATAAAACTATCATCACCGTCATTAACGCGGGTATCATTTGCACCATCATCGTTGCCATCATCGTCATTCTCATCATCAGCCACATCATCGTCTCCATCAAAAGTTCTCACTAGGTGGCTTGTAATCTTGTAGAACGACGACGAATTTCGATTTCTTCTTGAGTCCGTCAAGGAAAGTGACAACGAGGTCTCGGATGTCCTCTGCGTTCGGCGATGTGAACGTGTATTCGTCGCCACTCAGTGTCGCCAGTGTAAAACTCTGACCGTGTATCTTGCCTGTTCTGTGTTTGCGGTTGTAAAAATACATTAGTTGTTGTTTTTACTACTGCTGCTTCTGCTACCGCTACTACTTCTGCTGCTGCTGTTTCTGCTGCTGCTACTAAAACTAGTGTTGCTACTACTACTGCTGCAAATAACAGCTGCTACTACTATTGCTAGTAATATGCTAAAACTAAAATGGACTACGTACCTACTGCACGAGACTGCAGTTATTTCCGGATAAGAAAGTTCCAAAAGGACTTTTTCCGTTTCATCGACCACGTAGACCCCCGTCCAGTTGACGGCGATGATGACGTCATTTTTAGGCAAGCTTGGTCCGGCGAATTTGTAGGCTTCGTAGAATCGAGAAAATAGAAGCGGCCATTTAAATTTGGCGTAGTTGACCACATCCTGCTTCAGTCTGTCGGCTGTGTACTGTTTCTGGTAGATGAGGATGATGATCGAAGAAGATGATGATGATGATGATGGGAATGATCGAAGAAGATGATGATGACGACGATGATGATCTTTACTATGCATATGACATTATGACGTGATAATGCACACATACACACGCACACATAGACACACACACACAAATATACCCACATTAATGAAGTAGGATTTATTGAAAGAGTCCACGATTTTATTGACCCAGGCAGCTGAATTCTTCATAAGTATCATGTCGGGAATATAATGCTGAACCTGGGGCGCCAGACGGTCCACAGATATTATTGGCCCGAATTCGATATAAAATTGTTGGGCTGCAATCGTGGCTAAGTCATCTTCCTGAGTTTTTTTTTTAGAGAAAATAGTTTTGAATTCTAAAAAATTCACATAAAAAAAGCCAAAATTTACTCAACTCCTCACCTTATCACATCTGTACTCTCCAAATTTAATTCCCCGAACAATTTGTTGGTAGATAAGTTCGGTGGCCATCTTGTCAAAAGCAGGGTCGTGCCATGGGGCAAAAATTTCCTTCCTGAAGAAAAGTCTCCAGGGGGCATTTCTCTCTTGGGCCCCCTGTTCTTTGGCGTACTGTTCGCATTGTGAGATGGCGTCCATCACATGATCACCCCCACTTCCCAGCGAGGACACCTAGGCATTCGATGGAGAATTTCGTTATTTAATTTTTCAAATTTTGAAAATGTCAATTTTTAATTACTTTAAAATAAAAACCATTAAACAACGATCGACAATACATTCGTTAGAACTTAACATAGAAGTATTAAAACTTGAATTATTAACAATTTCATCCAAACAAGCAGACAGCTTCAAACCCAACCAAACCTTATCAAACAGCGCAATGTAGAGCGAGAATCCGAACTGATCTTTCAAGTTAATCTTAGCCGAAAGCTGTTGACATAGCTCTTTGGCAGTCGTAGCCGAATCAGCATATAGCGTTTTAGTATTGCCATCCATAAAAGTTATCGGGAGAATTAATGGTTTTTTGGATTTGGTTGCTTGAAGCTCTAGCCAACTAGGGGGCTGGTTACGCGGTCCGTTGGCGAAAGTTCGTCGCAGGCGTTCCTCACAGTAAGGTGCGTATCCAAGAGGTCCTTCTTTTATGAAGCATCTCAAGTACTTGACAAACTATGTTTGCATGCATGCGTGTGTGTGTGTGTGTGTGTACGTGTGTTTGTGTGCGTGCGTGTGTGTTAGAGTGGGCGTGTAGTATGTATTGCACGGATTAGATGGATGTATGAATGATGAACAAACAAACAAACAATAAATATTCACATGAACTACAAACGGAACGTGAACTAATCGAAAAATCATCATCGTTATATTAGTGTTATAAATAAGTACATTAAACAATAACTATAATTATTTTAATTAATATAATTATTACAGTTATAATTAATATAATTACGTTTTCTGTGGGGGCGAAACAACCCACACAGAGGGATAACAGGATCCACCCACGTGCCGAACTTGGTCTTGAAGGATTATTTGATAGCTGCTTGCATATCTGACAGTATATCTCGTCTCTGATTGGTTGATTGAATGGTTGGTTGATTGATTGAATGGTTGATTGATTGGCTGACCAATTGATGGACTGATTGAATAAAAGAATGGATAAAGGTTTGATTAAGGATTGAATGAATGAATAAATGGATTGTTTAGCAAAAGAATAAACGGACAAATAAATAAATAAATTAAGAACAAATTAATTAATTTATAATGGAATTAATTATTTAGCGCAAAATTACAAAATTAAACCAATCGAAAAGCACCTCAAATCCGGCCTCAAAATCCCATTCCCGATGATGAAGTGCAACTTTTCCAGATTGCTCATTGGTTTGTCGTCCAGCAGGGCATTTGAAAGGGGCACGAACTCGCCATCTTTGATTTGGTTGCTGACCTCTTCCGTGATCTTTGACTTCTTCCTCAAGGTCATTGAGACCATTTTCTTGGAGGCCTTCGTGGTCCGGCGGCCATCTTGTAAGGTTGTGTTGATGTTGTTCTCCTGTTTGGAATAAAAATATTCTTTATTAACATTCAAAGTATTGATGGTAACAGCAGCAGTAGAAGTAGTAGTAGTATCAGCAGCAGTAGTAGCAGCAGCAGTAGCAACAGCAGTAGTAGCAGCAGTAGTAGTAGTAGTAAATCGTCATCATTTCTTACGATATCAGTGCCCATTCTCTGGGCCTCTTCAATATCTCTCTGGTTGAACTTTCTTCCTAGCGTTGTGAAAATTTTTGTCATCACTGGCGTGTTATCCTGATAATGATCGCGATGGTTGCGATGATGAGGATGACGACGATGATGATGATGACGACGAGTAATCTGCGGATTGTCTTATAACGAATTCACAATTTAATCATCGTCATCATCACCATCCTGTCAATCATTATCATAAATCATTTATCTCATCATCATCCTCATCCTCACCGCCAGAGACATCATTATCATAACTAACCCTAGCTTCTCCCCCTTGTACGACGTACTTAATGTCAGGCAGATCTCCCATAAACCTCAATATCGTTATCCACACGGAAAGGGCAGCCTGTGACATTATAATATTATAATTAGGTTGACCGGTTCGTGAATATTAATTAGGTGGACTGGTTCGTAAATATTATAATAAGGAGGACTTCGTCAATAAATATTATAATTAGGTGGGCTGGATCATGATTACTTAGATTAGATTATCTATTTTATTACTCTCTAGAGTTAATATTTTCAATCGTACAGTCAAAGATATTTGCAAACACATAAACAAACAAACACACAAACAAACACAAACAAACACAAACAAACATGCCAACACACGAACACACAAAAACAAGCCAGCTAACAATCTCATCTCCTTCATTCTTTACAGGTAGAAGCGGTTTTTTGAGAGATTTCTTAATAAAAGTGGTCGTGGCGTTGTTTTGAAAGTATGTGGCAGCGAATTTTGCGAATTTGTAATCACTGATATCCTCATTGTCGTCGTCTGGAAGAGGAAGATGGATACTTGAGAGATCCATGGTGCTTTCAGAGTATCTTTGGTCACCCAGAGGTTGGAATCCCTAAAAATTGTGTGTGTGTCTGTGTGTATTTGTCTGTGTGTGTGTATGTATGTGTAGATGGAGTATGTGTTTGTCTGTGTGTGTGTGTGTGTGTGTGCGTGGCGTGTTGAGTGTGTGTGTGTGTTTGTCTGCGTGAGAGTGAGTGAGTGAGTGTGTGAAAATGGGTGTACGTTTAATATATTCTAAATTAAAATTTTTGGTAAAACTTAATTATAATACCCCTCCTAGACGCACCTGGAAGTTAGTCCCGACGCCGTTAGAATTGGTCATGGTGTCAGTGATGTCGAACATTTCGTTGATGACTTCATTGTCGTTGACGGGCGCGCGGTTTCGTAGCAGGGCATCGTCGATTCGACTCTTCTTGCTCAGTATGTCAGCCTTCATTCTCGCCTCTTCTTGCTCCATCTCGGAAGCAATCAGGGCTAAGCGTTCCTGGTTGGTTGGTTGGTTGGTTGGTTGGTTGGTCGGTTGGTTAGTTGGTTGTGGTTGGTTGGTCGATCGTCGTCATCACCAACAAAATCATCATCCTCACTCACCATATGCAATCTCTCAGCTTCCTTCTTAGCTTCAGCTTTACCCAATTTTTTCTCCAACTGTTTCTCATCCAACTCTCGTTGTTTTTCCGACTCCAATCTTTTTGTGTTCTGATGATGTTGATTATGATGATGATGATTATGCTGGTAATGATGATGATAATATATACACAGACACACACGCACACACACACACACACACACACACACACACACACACATGATACACACAAACAACATACCTGAAATTTCATTCTGTAATACTGGCGCCTAGCGACGAGGCACCTGGCTCCAGCCTGCAGAACGACCACACCTTTCAACTTCTTCTGATACAGGTGACTAAACAGGAAACCACTGCAATATCTCTGTGTATGTGTGTGTATTTGTATGTGTGTGTCTGTATATGTGTGTATGTATGTGCGTGTGAGTGTGTGTCTGCATGCATGTGTGTAAGTGTTTTTTTTATGTAAATTCGCACGTTTTATTAAAAATAAGTTGAATTGAAAGCGAATAAACGAACGAACGAAAGAATGAATGAATGAACGAACGAACGAACGAACGAATGAATGAACGAACGAACGAACGAACGAACGAATAAATGAATGAATGATGAATGGACAAACCTGGATAGCAATCATTTTTCTCCTAATCATACTGAATTGTTGGGCGAGTTCTCTTGATCTGACCAAAGCTTGCAAACGACTGTATCCATATTTCATCTAAATAATTTTATAACAAATTATTATTAATAATAGTTATTATTATTATAAATTATTATTATTATTATTATTGTCATAATTAAACATCTCACGTTGTTATATTTCTGTTTGGCCTGAAAGCACCTGATGAACTTCTGAACTGTGACACAACTTGACACAGTTTTCTTAAACTTGTTCCTATTGGACCAGCCCTTGACACACTTTTGAATGGTCACCAGCTTATAGGTCAGTACGCGATCTCTTTCCTGTTCTAGAAAAGCGTCCTGGGCATCCTGTGTTTTGATTAGTCAGTTGGAGGGTGGTCAGTGGATTGATTGGTTGATGAAATAACAATGCAAATAAATGACCTTCAAAAAGACTTTAGTCTTTCCTAGTTGATAATCAGCTTCTTGTAGTACAGCGCTACATATTTTATCCGATGCCGCTTTGCAATCTTCGACCGTCGATACCCCAATACCGCTAACTAATATTCGATACCGATCGACAAATTCGGCAAATGTATGACGAATCGGATATCCTTTCCGGCGAATAGTAATCGTTTCCATCATACCGGAGTATCGGAGCTGTCGGACGCACAAGGTTCGGTCGAATATCTGTGTGGGGAAGAGGTTGTCGTTGCTGTTGTTGACGTTTTTAATCACTATATCAACTAGTTTTCAGTCAATCGACTGTTGTTTTGTATGTCATTCAATCAACTAATCAACTAGTCGCTAACCATTTAACCGACCAAACAACCGACCAACCAACCAACCAATCAACCAGCCAACCAACCAGCCAACCAACCAATCAACCAACCGACCAACCAACCAATCAACCAGCCAACCAACCAACCGACCATTGGTTTTTTAAGCTCGTTTGGTTTGATGCATCGAACGAAGAATGGCTGGCAACTGCCGAGGGTTTTCATCAGCAGGTCCAAACTTTTTTTAAATTGCGATCCCAGAGTCTGCATTCTTTTTCTCGAGTCTGCCATCTAAGGGGGGGGAGGGGAAATATTATATTTCGGGGCCACGTTTGTGACGATGACGATGACGATGAAGAGGACGAAGAAGACGATGATGATGATGTTAATGATGATTATGATGATGATGTTAATGATGATGATGATGACGATTACCATAGCAAAGTCATCTTTGAAGAGAGAAGTTAAAAATTTGAGAGAGGAGTGTTGAACGACTTGCAGCAGATCATTACTGAATGTGTCTCTGTTCTTTTCCAAGAATCCTGATAATCGTTATCATCATCATTATCATCATCGTCATCATCAGCAGCAGTAGTAGTAGCAGCTGTAGTAGTAATAGTAAAAGAAGTTGCAGTAGTAGTAGTAGTAGTAGTAGTAGTAGTAGTAGTAGTAGAGTAGTGGTAGCAGCAGCAGCAGTAGTAGTAGTAGTAATAGTAGAAGTAGTAGCAGTAGTAGCAGTAGTGGTAGTAGAAGAAGTAACTTCACTAGCCGATTGCATCGTACGCAACAATCCCGGCAAAATGTATGATTGCGAAATTCTTGATGTTGTCAGATTTGGCTTGGCAGTAGTAAGTATTCTTTGAATGGTTCTGGTTCAGCTTCGACAGCATAGTCGCGTCTGTCCCCTGCGTTTATTGTTGTTGTTGTTGTTGTTTTTGTTGTGATTGTTGTTGTTGCTGTAGGTGTTGTTGCTGTTGTTGTTGTTGCTTTTGTTGTTGTTGCTGTTGTTGTATTTACATTATTTTCAATAGCAACAGCAACAAACAACATCTATAATAATACTAGTATCAACAAAAACAACAAAAACAACAATAATAACAATAATAAAGAAAAGGAAGAGTACCTGCGGGAACTTGCTCTCCTCATCAACTAGGGCGAATATGTTGAGCGGTCTGACCGCTATAAGGTCAAGGACATCCTGGTTGTCTACGAACTCTATCCTACTCCAGTTGATCCCTTCGTTGTCGTATTCTTCCTGAAAGAAGGGTTAAAGAGAGAGAGGAGGATAGAGAGAAGACGAGAATGAGAGAGAAAAATGAAAATTTTAAAATAAAGAGAGAGAGAGAGAGGATTGGCAACGACAATCTAATTATTTACCTGCTCCAGCTTGAAAATATGCTGAACGAAAAACTGTTGAAGATTCTCATTAGCATAATTTATGCAGAGCTGCTCGAAACTGCAAATTAAAATGATTCTATGAATAAATATATTTCAAAGAATCGAGGTAATATGGTAACCAATCATACGGCTCAAATTTAACCAACCAGCCGACCAGCTAGCCATCCGACCAACCAGCCGACCAGCTACTAAATCAACCGTCCAATCAATGAGCCAATTAATACATCAGCCCCCCACTCAGCCAATCAGCAAAGCAAACCTGTTCTTTTCAAAATTTTCAAATCCAAAAATATCCAAGACACCGATGCTGTTCTTCTTGTGCTTGCTGTCCTTGCTGGCCTGTACGAAGATGGCCTCGTTTATCTTCGTGATGATCCAAATGAACATGCGGCCGTAGATTCCTTTCACGAATGCGTCCCTCACATCTACCGAAGCGACAACGCCCAGTGTCGTCTTGACGTTCTCGCCACGCATGCTTATTGTCTTTGTGACTAGAGCCGAGCTCAGTTCTTGCGGGTTCAACTGCACGGTTGGAATTGAAGTTTTTTTATCGGTTGTTTAGTTAATTCTTTAAGTGTTTGTTCATTGATCTATTCATTTATTCATTCAATTTTTAATTCATTCATTCATTCATTCACTCATTCACTCATTCATTCACTCATTCATTCATTCGGACTCATTAACCCTACCTCCAATAGGGTGCAGGTGCTCTGTATGTTGTCCGTTCCTACAATCTCTGCCGCTTCTATATTTTTTACCATGGAACCTTGAGTGAATGAATGAATAAATGAAAGGAAAAATAAATGAATGAATAAAAGAATAAAGAAATGAAAGAACGAACGAACGTACGAACGGATGGATGAACAAATAAATAAAGAAATGAATCAACAAACAGCCAAATACAAACACACGAAACTAGACAGCCACGTATACAATCAAAGACACACAAACAACCAGACAGACAATCAATCAGACAGACACAGACAAACCTTTATATGTAACATTTCCCAAATGCAAAAGAGCCGCGAGAATTTTCATAATTATATTTATCTCGTCCTCTGTGTACGTCAGGACTTTCATGGCGGCTCTGACTTCAGAGAAGTCGGAAGCGTCTTCACGACCTTCACACGTCACACAGTTACCCTGATAACAATTATAGAGATAATAATGATAAAGATAGTGATATAGATAATGATATAGATAATGATATAGATAATGATATATATAATGATATATATAATGATAATAACCTGAGTAAGATAGTGATAATCTTCAGCTCTGGTCAGCTGCAGCTGTTGTTTTTCTTCGGAAGACAGACCGGCCAACATGCAGTAAAATATGTGGTAGTTCCTTTCGTCGCGATTCTATTGGTTTGTTGAAAGAGAGAATGTGATAAAGAGAGAGAGAGAGAGAGAGAGAGATAAGAACGAGAGAGAGAAAGTAGATGTATGATATTAAAAGAATTACCTGTCCAACAATTCTAGATTTTTCCAGGAGATATTGTTCAATCTTGGCACCTTCGATAGAGCCATTACTATTGAAATAGATATCGATATATTTACCGAATCTACTCGAGTTATCATTCCTAACCGTTTTTGCATTACCGAAAGCTGTGAAGTTTAAGGTTCATTATTAGTAATTGCTATTATCATTGCATCTACTACTACTTCTATTGCTGCCACTACTGCTGCTGCTGCTGCTGCTACTACAAATACTGCTACTACAATAGCGGTCTCTATGACGATGATAAAGTTGAATTAATAAAAATAGAGAGAATAGTTATCTCTAAAAAAAAAAACAATTTTCCCTGACCTTCCATAACTGGATTGGCTTCCAATATTTGTTGTTCTATCCATGAATGTTGACCGCTTACTGCCGCCAAAAACTGGAGGATCAATTTGGTACTTTCGGTTTTTCCAGCTCCGGATTCGCCACTGAGTTAGTAGTAGTAGTAGTGGTAGTAGTAGTAGAAGTAGTAGTAGTAGTGGTAGTAGTAGTATTGTAGCGTTTACATTTTCCAAAAAATAAAACAAAATACAAACAAGATTGGACCAAACAGCATACCTTATTATAATGCACTGGTTATCAAGATATCTTCTCATGTTGTGGTACGAATTGTCACCAATGGCAAAGATATGCGGTGGAAGTTCGCCGATTTTTTTATCTTTGTATCTCTGGATATCTTCCGGGGCGTATATGGGAAGAACTTTGTAGGGATTCAGTGCCACAAGGATCGATCCGGTGTACGTCTAGAAATATGTGCGTATATATTTGTTAGTTTGTGTCTGTGTGTCTCTCTCTCCTCTCTTTCTCTCTCTCTTTCTCTCTCTCTTTCGCTTTTTCTATCTTTAATTCTCTCTTTTTTTTAATAGTTTTCTGTTAAATCTTAAATCTTCAACCAGTCAATGACAATATTAAATAATTTTACAACCAAAGCTTTCTCTCATTTTATTTTTCCTTCTCACTCACTTTTTCTCCCTCTCTCTTTCTCTCTCTCTCTCTCTCTCTCTCTCTCTCTTTCTCTCTCTGTTGTAGTTATATTTATTACAAATAAACAGTAAAAAACGAAAAACAAAGAAAAACTCCAGTCACATAGATATCTCCATTGTTGTAACGCATAAAAAGGTTCCTAAGTATTCCTGCTTCGTTGAGGTCACCTAATTGGATCATGTCTTCGACCCCTTTCACTGACGTTGGGTGCATGCCATTGACCTTTTGTGGTGGCCTGACCCAGACTTCCTGAAATTAGGTCACGTTAAAGGTGATTTTGGAGTTTTTGGCTTTTAATTTGGCGTTTTTAGGATGCTTTAATGGGATGTGCTCAAATTGTGATTATTTGCTGGTTTGATTTTAAGGTGAGCATCGTTAATTCATTCTTTCATTCATTCGTTCGTTCGTTCATTCATTCATTCGTTCGTTTTATCATTCATTCGTTCGTTCAATCATTGGTTCGTTCGTTCATTCATTTGTTCATTCGATACTTAAGCCTTTTTCAAACTATAAGAACGAAATTTTATATAATTTTAACTTGCAAATTCGTAAATCCACCTTATTATCGTCATCCAGAATAAGGTAGCTATCGGCTTCGCATTTTTTAACCACGCCCCCGACGGCCACGTCGAATTCCCCCTTCGTTTGGGGCTCTATCCACACCCAGTCGTCCTAAAATTAGAATTACGGTTCGATGGTTAAGGAAGGTTTCACCAAAATTATCTTTAATTTCAACGTTCAGTCATTATCGTTGGTGTTGATGTTATGGTTATATCTTAATTATTAATAATAATAATAGTTATCATTATTATTATTGTTATTTTTATTATTATTATTACGAATAATAATTCACCTTGTTAATGAGAACCATTTATTTTAGGTCTTGCCGTTTTCTATGTTTGTTTCAACCGTTTTAGTTAATTTAATTCAATATTTTTATAAATAATAAAAAAATTATTATTATTATTATTTATTATTATTATTACTGTTATTATTATTATTGAAAATCGTGAACAAACAAATGGCAGTGATTCTTCATTAATGTTGTTAGTATAATTGTAATTGTTGAGAAATATTAAGCCGAAAGCATTGTCACAATTTTATTATTTATTTATCTATTACAACCATTTCATTATCTAATTAATTAAAATTAGTTTATTATATTATTTTAAGTGATAATAAATAATGATAATTATAATTACAATTATAATTATTTTTAATTTTATTGCCTCCAGTTTAAAGAAATGCGAACCGAAAGACAACTCACCATTTCAAAAAAAGGTGAAAATAATGGTGTGGTAGTTTGGTGTCATACATACACACATACATGCATACATACATACATACATACATACATACATACATACATACATACATACATACATACATACATACATACATACATACATACATACATACATGCATGCATGCATGCATACATACATACATACATACATATATCATACCCATATTCATAGCTAATGTTACTAAATCTGAAATAGCCATACAATAGAAGAGTTAATTGATGAAATATGAAGATTTACTTATGTTTGTATATGTTACCTGTGTGATTGTATGTATGTATGTTATGTATGTAGGTATGTGTGTGTGTATGTGTGTGTATGTGTGTTAGTAGCACGTATAAAGGCGCATGTTTATATTATAGCCGGGGCTGGGTCTTGTATGATTTCTTTGTATGTGTGTATGCATTTTTCAATGTTTGTGCGTGTGTGTGTGTGTTTTTATGTATGTATATATGTATGTATGTGTGTATATATGCATGTATGTGTGTATGTATGAACTGAAGCATACCTTCATCGTGCTAGGAACCCGCCTAAAAATTATTGTAAAAATAGTTCATCGCCGGCCTTCATAACTATTATTAACTGTTACTATCCTTCGTTATTCATCATCATTTGTATCGATAGTAATACTTATATTGTAACAATATTAATAATATAATAATAATATTGTAATAATTTTATTATGAGTACAACTGTTTGTATTAGTACCATCAGTAGTAGTAGTAGTAGTAGTAGTAGTAGTAGTAGTAGTAGTAGTAGTAGTAGTAGTAGTAGTAGTAGTAGTAGTAGTAGTAGTAGTAATAGCAGCAGCAGTAGAGGTAGTAGCAGTGGCGGACCTAGCGGGCCGGAGAAACCATGGCTCTTCCCGTTGTTAGCAATGTCAGTAAAACGCAGACAGGAATATTTATCATTTTTAGATACAAGTAGTTGCCATTATAAAGTACTAAGTATAAAATTCTTATATTTTTGGGAATGTAGAGCTGATATGATGAATTAAGCTGAGAGTTTATCACTAGATAGCAGATCCAAGTAGTACTCAATCTTTTGACCATGAAAATGTATAATATGGTATTAGAAATCTTGACGGTTTTGCTGTTTAGTACCTTGAACAGTAATCATTATGTATTACTATAGTTCGATTTTCTTAGAATGTGGCGCTGATAAAGTAAATTAAGCTAATTGTTTGTTACTAGATTTATATATAACAATGTCGAATGCTGTCCGGAATTATCAACGTGTATATGAAAATCGAAAAAATTGTAATATTGTTTTATTTATTTTATTAGTGATATATTAAAAAGGAAGGCAGATTGTTAGCGTAACGAAAATATTAAAAAATATCTATATTTTTGGTTCTATATACATTGACAGTCTTAAACCTATATATATATATATATATATATATATAGGTTTTTTGTTACAATTCATAAAACTTAGTTAACGTAACACAACGTAAAACATGGCCGATAAGGATGCAGGTTATTTTGAAATTTTATACCTTCAAATTTTATTTTTTCAAATTATATTTGTCTAAAATTTTGACCGATCGTATACTCGGTTTAACGTTTATCTATTTTTTTTAGTTTTTTTTTGAAAATGTGCGCATACTAACTAATTAATCCCTAATCACTATTTATCTCTAGTGTGTAATGGGCATACTAATCTGTTATCAGTAATGATTTGTAATTCGTAATTGATAAATTCTTAAATATCTCTGTACTTTATTTACTTAATAAAAGCAAATGATCAAAATTTTGACACATTTGTCAATTATTTTTTTTAATTAACAAAGATAAAAATATGGAAGACGCTGAAAAACAGCCAACTCCACCCACAAGGCAGCCAAACTGTTCTCTGTTGAAAGCCAGTACGTTCTCGCCTAATAATTATTGTTCCGTCGACATTCAACATCAACAGCATCAGGGTCTCATAGATTTTTCCTTTTAACTTTCAACATTTGCATAATTTTGATCTTATTTATTATATGTTTAAAAGTGAACTCTTATATAAATTTTATTATAAACTTTTGCTTTAATTATTATAACTTAAAAGCTTTAATTAAATGTTTGAAATAAGTGCATTCCAGAAAATCATTAATTTTTAGAAGAACTGTAAAAATTAATATTTATATAATTATATAGATATTATTTTTGATATAATATAATTGTTATAATATTATATTTATTGTACTTTCTATAAATAGATTTACATTAAATTAACAGGTTATTTTAGGTCCCAGCCTAACACCAATGCTTACAATCCATTCGCTATTGGATCACTATGTAACAATTTATAATTATAATAAATTTTAACTATTTTTGTTTAAATTCAATTAATCAACTCTAGATTTTTAGCAAATATTTTAATATACTGATTCAAATAAAAATATCAGTTGTCATAATTTTTTTTTTATAAATTTATTTATAGCAGCCAATAAAAGTTCTTCGAATAAATTATTCCTGAGACCTTCACCCTTGCAACACCAAGTGTCTTTAATCAAAGGTAAGAAAATATTTTAAAATTACTAGATTCATAATTAATAATTATAAATAATAATAATCAATAATTATAAATAATATGAAATAATATTATTTTTACATGTATAGTAAATTTTCCAACTATTTCTTTGAAAATTTTATTTACACATCGTTCTTTTTTACACTTTGATATCAGGCTCTCTCTAATTTATAATTACAATCTATAATTCCAGTTAGTATAGTAATAATTAACTTCATTATTATAATAATAATTAATAATTATAAATAATTGTTTTCACTCCCTGTCTGATAAACAGAGCCTACTCTGCCAGCACCCCACCTGGCCAGCACTTTCAAGTTGGAGCCCCCGAAGCTTTTCTGCCCTTTAACTGGTTCGTTTAATTGTTTATTTATATTTTATTGCACATACTTAAATATATATATATATATATATATATACACAACTAAATAGACCCGCAAATGTGTTTACAAACAAACATACAAACACATATACCCACATATATAAAATTCCAGAGAAACCTTTCAAACTGACGTGCAGTACCATCACTACTACTACTGATGGTACTACTACTACTACCTTGAACGACTATGGCAGTAACTGCAGTAGCCACATTGAAATCAACCACGATCAGAATAAAAATGAAAAAGTTACAGCTACTTCTACTACTACTGCTACTACTACAGCCCTAGCTACTACTGCTAATAATAATGAAAATAACACTAATGTAGTATTATCTGATGTTACTACTACTGCCACTTCAACTGCTAAAGATGGTGATTGTTGTAACATTGCTAACAGTACTGATACTAGTACTATGGGTACTTCTTGCGAGATAACGAGGTTCGTTATATATTTTTCGCTTCATTTTCGATTTTATGTTTATAATTATTTATTTTATCTATCTATTTTTGTTTTTGTTGTTATTTTTTAAAAGTATTTTCTCTCCCGTTGAATTTTTCAAATTTCATAATCTATGGAAAGCTGGATGTAATTATTTAACTTTTTGTTTGTAATATGAGATGTCTGTTTTTTTATTTTTTTGTATGTATGTGTATGTGTGTGCGCGCGTGTGTGTGTGTGTGATAGTCATTATTGTAATTATTATTATTTATAGATAATAATAAATAAATGGATTAAATAATTAATTAGTTAATTAATCAATTAATTAATTATAGCAATGGCAAGGCAGCAAATTTTATCCTCCCTCATCATCATTCTGATGAAAATGATGTTGTAGTAAATGTAAGTTCGTTTGTATGTGTGCGTGTGTGTGTATGTATTTGTTTGTTTGTGTGTGTATCGGTGTGTGAGGATTATCATTTTCCTAATGTCGTCTTCTCTCTTTCTTTTTTTTCTCTCTTTCTCTCTCTCTCTTTCTGTCTGTCTGTCTGTCTGTCTGTCTGTCATCTTACTGTGTGTCTTTTGAATGTTTGTGTGATGACTATGATGATTGTTGACTGGATTATAATGATGATAATTATTATTATAAATACAATTTCTTAATTGTGATTGCAGAAAAGGGACTCAGAGGAGCAGCGTTTGTCATCATCAACAGCAACAATAACAAATGGAGCCTTACCAACATCATCATCATCAACAACAATAACATCATCATCATCACTACTCTCATTCAACAACACTACTATAACTAATACTTATAACAATACCTTTACCAGTGTTAACAATAATAGTGGTGGTAGCTTCAGTGGTGGGAGTGGTAGCGGCTGTGGCGGTAGTGGTAGTGCTTCTAGCTTTATCTTTGGCAGTAACCTGGCTGATCGAGTCGTCAATACTATCGTTACAGCTGCTAGCAGTAACAGTCACGAATGTAGTGCTAGTAATAATGATGGTGGTGATGAAGGGGTAGGAGTGGCAGAGTGTGAAGATGATGAGGAGGATGGCGATAATGGTTGTTTGTTTGTGTTTGTATGTTTGTGTGTTTGTTTGTTGTTGATTTTGTTTGTTTGTTCTTATCATTTAATTATTATTGACCGCTCATTATAAATCTGTCCCATTAACAGTAAGCCTAATAAGTTGAAATTGATTTCAAATATTACAGATGCAGTGACATCGTCTGCCAATATTTCGCTAGTTGAGTCAGCTGCCAAACAGCAGCAGGCCAAAGATATCAAGCCAGAACTGAAGGAAGTGAACGTTCTGACGGGGGAAGAAAATGAATTCAATATTCTACAGGTTAGTGAAAAATAGTGAATATGGCGGACGTGGGGCCCAAAGCTGGCCAGTTTGCTATTTAATTATAGCTCTTTATTCCTAAGTAATATAAATGTAATGTGTTTAACGCATTATTGTCGAGCGTTAGACTAGATTGGTGAATTATTTTAATAATTTCATCTATAAGTTATTTGTAATATTTAATTTGATGAATGGTTGGTTGATCTTTCGAAATTGAAAATGTTCATTCATTTATTTGTCATTCATATATTTGTCATTCATTCATTCATTCCACTAATTGCCTAACTAACCTGGCAACAAACAGCTCAATGCCAAGCTCTACCTCTTCGACAAAGAGACGCAAAACTGGCTTGAGAGGGGGCGTGGCCTACTACGACTCAATGACATGATGATTGACAGCAGTGATAGAAATAGTGCCGATAGCAACTACGTGAATGTTGTCAATTTGGATAAGAATTATTGCCAATCCCGGCTTGGTTGGTTATGTTGAATAAAGATGTCTGCTGTGTGTATTTATTAGTTCATTCGTTCATTTATTCATTCATTCATGCATATATATATACAATACATACATACACATTCACACACACACGTACATCATACACACTCATACTCATACAGCAACATAATCTGAAAATAGTTATTGAAATTTTGATGTTGTGTGTTTGTTTGTCAGTTTCTTCATCTATTGGTATAATCATTCATACATACACACACACACGTTCATACAAACACACACATGCAGTTATGAGAGCCCAGGGTAGTCTGCGTGTTATACTGAACATCAAACTTTGGTCCGGCATGCTATTGGATAGAGCCAGCCAGAAGAGTATTAAGATTAGCGCCGTGGATGCAGAGGAGGGCATCAAGATATACCTTATCACTGTTAGTTCTCTTGATTGTGTATGTGTGTGTTTGCGCGCGTGTGTGTGTGTATATATATAAATAACTTGCTTATTTCATGTGTGTGTGTATGTGATGTGTGTGTGTGTGTGTGTTAATGATGACTTACTTAATAGTCATAATTTTTCCCTAATTTTAGGCAAACCCCAATGACACGGAACACCTATTCTCTGCTATAACCTCGAGAATGCATCGTTTAAAAACCTTGGCCGGCAGCGAAAAAAAAGCAGACGACAGTAGCAAGCGACTATCTCACTCATCATCCTCTCCATCTTCATCGTCGTCAGCCTCTGCCACTTCATCGTCGGCGTCGCCATCGTCACAGTCGTTGACTAACAGTAACAATAATAGCTGCTGCAGTAGGAAGAGGCTTGGATATGAAAATGAGTCGGAGATCTGCGCTAGTAAAAAATCTAGGTTGGTTTCGTTTGTGTGTATGTGTTGTGTGTGTGTGTGTGAGAGAGAGAGAGAGAGAGAGAGAAAGAAGAGAGTATTTGCATGCATATGTTCATTTTTGTTTTTTACTGAAATTTGTTTTTTTTTGTAATATTTGGTTTGTAATGCATGTGTTAGTGTGTGTACGTGTGTGTGTGTACGTGTTGTTTTCTGATGTTTAATTGTATATAATTTATTCATATTTATTATTATTTATTCAAAATTATTCACCGTCACCACTGCCAGACTGGAAGGAGGAGAATCAGCTGTACCTGGAGATGATTCAAATGATGACAGCAGCAGTGCCCCTTACCCTGACACTGAAGGTACGTACTGGCTCTTTCTACCTCATCTAATTTGCACAATTTATTCATATCACTATTGGGCTGTTTTCCCCATTTGCATAATTTATTCGTTGGTATTTAATTGTTATAAGGATAGTGTTGATATTATTCGTAGTATCTTAGTTTTTCGTCGTAATTAAATAATTTTTCTTGGATGGTTTTTGTGTTGCGCTTGTGTAAATTATTTCTGCTATTATTATTGTTATTATTATTATTATTATTTCAAAATTTAATTTCACTTTTCAACAGCATCGAATGAGGAGTTCACTTCGTCATCATCACCAGCTATCCAATCATCATCATCCTTAGACTCTTGAATGTTTCTGAACTAATTTTTATTTGGAAATCATTAAATATAATATATATATATATATATATATATATATATATATATATATATATATATATATATATAATTGGATAATTTTGATAGACCAATTAATGACAATAATAATAATAATAATATGGATTTGTTCTTTCGTTCGTCCGTTGGATGACGATGATATGAATTGTTCATCCATTTATTGACAATAATAAAAATTTAATGATTCACATTTTTTGGAAATCCCCCATTTCCAAGTAAATTTGTTTGCTATTCTATCTGATATGTTTAAAGTGGCGATTCGTAAGTTTGTGTTGGTTGGTTGGTGTGGGATTTTCCATTGCAATGACTATTGCTCTTAAAATCATAAATTCTATTCTTGGATGTATAAAGTGAATTTTGATAGAGAACTGATTGCATTTTTTATTTGCGTTCGTGTGTGTTGTGTATGTTTTTTGTATCTTGATGTAAAAATGGTTTGCATGGTTGTTTGGTAATTGTGTGTTGTTTGGTTTTCTGTGTCTGTTCTGCCAAAACTTTCTGTATCTACATTTTGTTTTTATTAGTCAAATTTGGAAAAACGTATTTTTCTGTTAATTTTTGGTTTTGTCGTCTTTGTAATTATTAATTGTAATGGTTACTCTTTTGAAGTTATTAGAAGATGATGACCTTTTTAATTTGTGAACAAGTTTTCTATTGCTCCGTAGAAAAAAGTTAAGAATTGACCGAAGAAAAGTATTATACACATGAATGTTTATGTCCTGAAAATGAAAAGTATGATGTGTTAAAAATGATCCCACCTAGTTTGAAGGAATAAAATTGAAATTAGAATAAGAAATGAGTAAAAAAGTCGCTGTGATGGTAGGTAAACATGTGAAAGGTTTTTTAAATAATATCTAATTTTCTGTCCATGAAACCGACAACCATCTGTGTGTCAGACGCTCGATATCTGTTCTACGTGCTTTTCCGCGCTCAAACTTTTCCGACTCGTATTACCGACAAGTCCGGTGGTATTCGCAATCGATTGAATGCCGACGTACCGTCCCTGCTGGTGTTGAGAAGGTGAGCTGCACGCATAAGAAGTTCGTCTGTTTTGTTGCACGTCGTAATATTCCCTTCTAATGGTGGGGCGTGATGAGTTTGAACGTTGGAATGTCCTGGCAGGCTGTGAGGGAGGAGGATGCCAGGTTTGTTGCCCTGCTGTCACCTGGGTACGAATCAGTCCTTGCGTGGCGTTTCTCAGAGTGGTGATTGAGGGACGGTTTGGTATGAGGTGTCTGTTCAATTCGATAGTAGGGAGAGGATGAGGTGGCTGTTGCTTCGTAGTGAAGTTAACTGCTGATAGTTTCTCATGCTCTTTAAACTTTACCATCTCACTTCTCTGTTTTTGCGTTGCAGTATCTGTTTCTTTGTCGATTCTCAAAATGTTTGTTTGTTTTCCTTGATGGAGGTAATTTTTATTCGTGAGATGTAAATTTTCATTTGTGAGTGTTTGACATTTGAGATCTTTTTGGTCTCTAGGAGAATCTGGACCGTTCAAAAGTTCGTCACATTCTACGATGCTTTGAAGACCACTGCGATTGTGAGCAACCTGTCCATTCGACTCCAGACTGTTCCTTCTGCTCAGCAAACTTGTTATGCTGCCGGTTGGGGACAGAGCAATGGCCGTTATTGGTAGCAATGTTTTGCTCAGACATCTGTAAATTGCTGGATGTGAATGGAGGTGTGTACGATCGCTTGTCAATGGAACAAAAATTTATCCAGTCAGTTAAGTAATTCTCGTGCAGTGTCTATTTATGTTGTTTAGTTCAAAAACGTAATATAATGTGTCGTCAATAAATTATAAACGAATGAAATTTTTCAATAGAAACTAATCACTTGAATGCCCGGTGTTACTCTGTCCTCCGTACAATCCAATCCCTATAAGATAGGCAATCATGTTCCTCTTCAACGTTCTGTAACTATCTTTCGATGATGTCTCACGTACTATCTGCGTGGAAATCGGTATCGAAATAATTACCGGAACATCAATAAATTCGACAACGCTTCGACATTACCACGACCATAAAATCATTAGAATATTAATTTTAAAAGCAAAATCTCTAACCTGAAATTCTTTGAGATAGCTATTTATTTGTCTATCTTCCAAGATCTTTTTGTGTTTCCTTTTGATGTGAGATGCGATTAAGAACATGACGGATGTACCATAGAAGACGATAACGATAATGACGTAAAAACCGGCTCCGATGCCGTGCCCACGAGTGGGCATCGTCGCATTGACGCAGACGTTTCGATAGTTCGAGAACCCTTTCGAGTCCATTGTCACAATACTCGTGCAGTTTAATATAGGGTGAATAATCATGTTTTATTAGATGTAAATAATTAAATTAATTAATTATAGATATTTCTCCTCAAAACATATACAGGCAAGCCGTTAAGTGTACATATTTATTGAATATATCGAGCGGGATTATTATTGCTTAGACATCTGTTCATCTATCTATTTATATACAGAGCGAGTAACCTTTCTCTCGCTCACTATCCTTTATTTTGTTCCCTTCGTCTCTTATTTATTTGCAATAAACGATAACGATTCTAACGTGTTTGCTTGTTTATATTTAACAAACACACCTGTACCTACATACAGTACAATAGAATACAATACACACACACAAGCGTTCAAACAAAGCGTGGTAGATCATAAAAATGATGAAAGAAAAAAAGAAAAGAAAAAAGTCGCCATCTAAACTCAACAACTGCACACGAGACGATTTTTATGTTTGTGAAACAGAATGTAACAATTTTATCATAACGGTATTTACTCGTATAACCTACATACGTACAAAATATCGATTCATCTAACTAAGGCAATACGCCGCATAGCAATACGTCAACACTTAAAAAGTTATTTGCAATTTATTTGTGATTAAATTAGTGGTTTAAACAATAACAACGCCCGTTTATATAGTTTAATTACTACTTATGTACAAATCCTGAAATGAAACAAAAACGTGTAAATATGTACAGATAATTGACAAAAAATCGAAAAATTCTTAACAAAAAGTCATATAAATCAGTGTTTCGGCTTAGCTGAACGAGCAAAATAAATAGCCACCGGTTTACCGAAAATTCGGTAGCCGTTAATGGACTTGAGAGCTTGCTCAGCTTGAAAATCAGACGGGAACGTAATAAAAGCCTGTCCTTTCATTCTTCCCTCCTTCATCAAACGAATGTCGTACATTATCCTCTCTTCCTGACTCGACCAGTTCACGAAACCGCCAAATATCAAATGTAAGTCTCGTTCGGTTACCGATTTTGCAAGGTTTTTCAAATAAAGTCTAGAAGATTTTTCACCAGGATTGTAATTTTTGAAAACGTTTAATGTGTGGAATTCATTTTCCTCTAATCGGTTTTTCATAATTTCGTCTTTTGGTATAAAATCGTCGACACCCCATTCAATATCTTGCACTTCAATAACTTTTGGAACTTGGTTAACAGTTGGCACTATTTTACCGAAACCTTCTGTTGTGGGTAAGACTGTTTCAGTAGACTGACTGTTTGCAGTGGAAGCTACGTTTCCGACGTCTTCGTTTGTTATTTTGAAGCCTATCTTTTTAGACTTGTTAATTTTGTCAGTTTCTTCAAATACTTCTTCAGTAGAAACTTTCGTTGTTGCAGTTTTTGCATGAATTGTACCTAACGTTTGCATTTGGGCTTCCATTGCAAGCTGAAGTTTCAACTTTTTGCGCGTCAAATCATCTTGTTCTGCCAAACTTTTTCTTTTTTTAGTCGACCTTGAATTTGAAGTAAGTTCACTGTCGCTATCAATCTCTGATTCGTCGGATAATCGTTCAGTAACATTTAACCTGACATTGGAATCATCAACAATCGGAGGGGTTATAGTCAAATTACCAAACGGAGCCGGCAAGTTCATTTTATTCATCAGGTGTAACACTTGAGTGTAAAATTTCGGAACAGATGCTAGCGCATTTGCAATGTTAGTTAATATTGTAACTGTCGGTTTAGGATACGAATATCTCAAATTAGGATTGATTGGGTATTCGAAGTTGAAATAACTTGATATGCTGTTGATCTCTCTTGATATTTTACGCCGACACTCGGCCAGTTGAGAGTCAATTTGTTGACCCAAAGAGGGTTCAACAACTTGGGTGTCATTCCTTTTGAATTCATCAAGAAGTTTTTGTGCAGGCAAGTTCAAGTCTTCAACGAATTCCTTATCAGAGTATTCAACGACCAATCTTCTGTCTAAAAGTTTTAGTTGGTGTAGGTGGTTCATGGCAATCTTTGCTTCACTTTCACTGTCAAACAAGGCAAAAGCTGTGTGTTTCATCTTACCTTCCTTGCCCATGTAACGAACTTTCTTAGCACCAAACCGCTGAAATAAATCGGAACAATCATTGCTAGTAAATTTACTTGGTACATGCCGGATCAGTAAAGTTTTAGAAGACATGCTTTATCGTTTATTTATGTTGCGAAGTTTACAATAAACACTCTAATATCGCTATCATAACATTGAAAACGCAACACTTGCCATAGACTTCAATAATTAATTATTTTTATATTGATAGGTCTGTCAAGATCTAACATCTTAAATAAGCCCACCTATGTTACGGTGGGGTCGACGATGTATTTTTTAAACAATTTATTCTGTTGCCGTGACATGTTTAAAATTTCTTTAGTAACTCATGATTTTTTGTTCATCGCCTGCAGGATAGCAAAGGAGCAAATGCATCTAAGGCCTTGTTGATTATATTATATAGAAGTGAACAGGCAGACGCATATCGTAAAAAAGATACTAAAGATAAATATGCAAACGCGTAGCACAACAGGTAAGCGACCAAAGGATTAAACAAAAATTATTAAAGAAAATTTGTAAAATCAGCATTAAAATTAACGGCAATAAAATTAATCACATAAAACTAAGCCGCTGAGACAGTTCGGTTCACATCAGCGCTCTTAGCCGTCATATCTATTTTTATGTCAGCCCCATTTATAAACATGGCAATCACCTTTTTGAGAACTTCTGGTGAATAATTTTCATACTTTGTATGCCTCAACATGGCTCTTTTCGGTATAATCTTATCAAAGAGCATGTTATCTGAATCGAACCAGACTAAATTTTTCACGGGTGACTCCTCAAAGTCCAGTGTGTTAAGTTGGAAACATACAAAATTGAATGATCGACCGTTGGTCACTACACATTGCGTTGATATGGGCTGTGGAAGTTGTTTGATGTCATCCTGAGAAAAAGACATTAAAACTATATCTCAAAATTTATCACTGATAAAAAAATTAACAAATCACTTTGAAATAACTTCAAACAGTGTAGCCCTTTATCAACACTTAAATTGTTATTAAACAATTGTTGATATTGAACTAACTAATTTTAAAATTTTAAAAAAAGTTACTCACTCCATAGATATTCTTAGCAAGAGCGCAGGCATAACCAAATGAAAACATAAGACCCTTAGCATTATGCTGACTGGAGGACCAAAGATCATCATAACATAGAAACATTAGATGAGGATGAGGATGCCTGAATGGACCCAAACCTTTATAACCCAACAAATTTTCATATTTCCAAACATGCTGATTCTTCAAATCAATGGTAGGACTTAGTGGATAAATTGAAGGAAGATTGAAGGAAATAGATTGATCAATAACATCTGGACCAACAAAGGGATCCAATCTTTTAGATGCATATATCATCGCATCTGTGTTACCTTTTATGAATATATCGGTATCACCTGTAGAAAGTTAAACAACAAATTATTGATACTAATCATTGCTGGAAAAGCTATTAAAACAACAATATTTAACAACAATGGCAATTATATTAAAACCATATTTACTGTTATAATGGTAAAATGTGGAAAGCTCGATATCAGAAAACATCCTTCGAGATGTAAGCAGATCAGGATGACAACCAACCAGAGACATACAAATCTTCAACATGTTTTGCACTGTAAGAACCCTATAAAATTATTTAAAATAAATAAATGATAATAATAGTCATAATAAAATTTGAATTCTTTAACCTTAACAAATGCTTCATTGAACCAAAAAATACCACTTACGCAATCTTATAATCAGGTATACCATATTCAGCTTTAAATTTCCAAATAGGCAAGTCAGGGTTATGTCTTCTGGGCAGTTTATCTTTTGTTGGTTCCAACCTATTTGCTTGCATTATCACTCGCTGCATTAATTCATCCTAAGTAAATAATTGAAAAGTTGTTTTTTAATTGAAAATTTTTATAAGAAATCAATCACCGAACCACCTGATCTGGTACATCTACAAGCCCTATTAACCTTTGAACTGACTGAGGTAGTTGATAAAGAGGCTGTGATTTTGTTAATATTAGTGCCTGTTTTTCACCTGGACAGTAGTTGTTAAATAGTGGGAATTAATTCTAGCAGATTTTTAAAACAAGCAAACAGAACATTAACTAATTCATGCTTAGCAGTTTAGGTATACTTATTTATAGATTTCTAATGACACAACCTTCAACTAATTGGCAATCAGTATTAAATTCATGAGCAGGGGTTTCATGATAATCTGGATGATCTTTAATGGTGGGCAACGGTTTAAACTGAATGTCGTCTGCTACAGACGGCTGCCATTTTGGGAAAACTGGGAGATGTTCCTTCCACAATTCGGAACCTTTTACTATGGGTATACCTTGCAAATGAAATATGACACAACTTATAAAGCGGTCACTAGCTATCAAATGTATGGTGCGTGCAGATAAGTAAACTATTAAAGTCAGTAACTTAAACTTACCCGCTTTATCAAGATAGAGAGGTTTGTTCAGGAAGCCGTCATTCATTTTGGATTTTTGGAACTTCCACATAGTTTTGAAGAGCCATCTATAATTTTGTCGGTACAGACAATTCGTCAGCTTCATTTTTCAAAACGAATTTCAAAACTTTTCTTTTTTTCAAGTGAAAACCAGAACGAATTTTTAAACAATTTTTTTTTCATGCGTTTCAATTATCGCTCGGATGAAACATAGAAAGAACAATGGAATTAAAAGCATTCGACTTTGAACGAACATTACATTCGTGACACGTACGATTGTAAAACGGTAAAAGTTATTCACATATGTTACATTAAAACAAAAATGATAAAACCATCGTCAATTAATGACCCGAAAACATTACATCCCTCAGTTAAACCGAAATTTTAACAGGAACATGGGGACCATTGATGTTAGATTTGACTTTGGATGGGGAGTTTTTAGGCTGTAGTGGTCTACCTTCCACGATGGTTTTTACTTCTTCTGCGTCTAGAATTTCATGTTTCATGAGGGCCTGGGCCAGGTTTTTGTGCTCCGTTGCGTGCGATTTTAATAACGAACGGGCCCTTTCATATGACTCCTGCAAATTTTCAAACGTTTCAACGGGTCTAACCACAACCTAAAGCCATAGAACTTTTAAAAGATACAACTGCCTAGAACTCAAACTTTAGTTGATAATCAAACAATAACTAGTTTAATTAATTTATACAGACTTGTAACAATCTCTTTATTTCATTGTCGACCAGTTCAGTGGTGGCTGGTCCAACCTCGTTCAACTTCACAAAGGATAATCCAGTATCCACATCTTCCTCATGAAACACTCTAACTCCAACCTAAAATTAGGCAGCAAAACAGAAATGTACTTTTAAATGAATCAAATTTAAAATTACTTCGAGAAGTAAACGAAAAGATCATTGCATTAAACCTTTTCTGACATTCCATACTGTTTGACCATAGCAGTAGCGATTGCAGTTGCTTGGGAAAAATCAGCTTGAGCTCCTGGCAATTACGAAAATATTTTTCAAGTCAACCAAAACTAAGCATGATATTTTGAACAATTCAACGAAACGTCAAATTGTAAACGGTTTCTGTGTCAAAAATATCACAAAAACATCTCACTACCTCATATCAAAATGCGATATAAACAAACACGAAAAAACAAAAGAAAGTAAAACAGGACATTCCTACTGACCAGTGGTCACGTTATCAGGGCCATACACCAGCTCCTCGGCTACTCTGCCTCCCATGGCGACATCCAGCTGAGCCAGTAACTGAGATCTCGTCAAGTTGTACTGCTCTTTGTCAGGGACAAATGATGTCTGCAGTTTGGTTTTTTAATGTTTAAACTGAGAGAGAGAGAGAGAGAGAGAGAGAGAGAGAGAGAGAGAGAGAGAGAGAGAGAGAGAGAGAGAGAGAGAGAGAGAGATCAATAAAAGAAAGACGAGAGAAAGAGAGAGAAAGAATAGAGAAAAAGTGAGAAAAGAAAGAGAGATATATAGTGAAACAACAAGATCAACATCGCAACTGAATCTGACAAGCAGTTACTAACATGTCCAAGGCTGGTTCCTCGCGGGATGATGGTCACCTTGTTCAGCGGCGTTGCATCTTTTGTATAGTAGGCAACCAGCGTGTGACCGGCTTCATGGTAGGCCGTCATCAAATTAGTAGCCTCGTCTGGGATCTTGGTCTTTTTGGCTGGGCCTGATCGAGATGGTGGTGGCATGCGTTTTGGAGAGAGTTGTGATTGAAATATTCAAGAAAAATATTTAAATCTCTCTCTCTCTCTCTCTCTCTCTATTTTTCGAATATCTTACCCATTAAAACTTTATCCCTAGCATGTTCCAAATGCGACATAGCAACGTGGGGATCACCATCCATAGCAGCTTTCAGGGCCGCCTGATTCACCAAATTCTCCAAGTCGGCCCCCGTGCAGCCTGTCGTACTACGCGCCAGTTTGTCCACATTGACGTCCGATCCTCTCTTTACCTGCATGTTTGCGTGTATGTGTATGTATGCATAGATGTATGTTTGCCAGTATGAGTATGTATGCATAAGTGTATGTTTGCCTGTATGTGTATGTATGTATGTATGTGTATGTACGTCTTCGTGTATGCGTATGTATGTATAGATGTATGTTTACTTGTCTGTGTATGTATATGCATGTATGTATACGTATGTATAGGTATGTTTGCCTGTATGTGTACGTACGCTTGTGTGCATGCTTGTACGAATGTACGCCAGACTCGATGAAATTTAAAAACTTTACTTTTGTCATACCAGTAACATTTACATTTACTTGGAGAATTTTGTTTGCTAAATAAAACTTCAATAGGAGTGTCACCTTTGAGAGATAGTGCTCCAAAATTTCAATTCTTCCCTTCAGATCAGGCGGGAAAACGCGAACTTCAACGTCGAAACGACCTGGCCTCAGTATGGCTCTGTACGTGTGTGCATGTGTATATGTACGTATGTTTGCATATGCGTGTGTGTGTATGTATGTTTGCATATGTGCGTATGTGTGTACGCAAGTGTGAACGTATGCGTGCTTAGTGTTTATACGTACATAAAAAGCACAGTAGCAATAAGTTGAGGTTGTGAATTTGATATAACGTAGCAGTGCAGTGTAACTCAATGCATTAATTAAATAAAGGAACAATAAACTCTCTCTCTCTCTCTCTCTCTCTCTCTTTCTCTCTCTCTCTCTCTCTTAAACTCCTCTTACTTGTCGAGATTATCTCTCCTGTTTGTGGCCCCAAGGACAATAATACCCTCATTCTGCTGGAAGCTGTAAATAAAAAAAAGATTTAAATATAAACAACTTTAATGAAAATGAATGAATGAAAGAATGAATGAATGAAAGAAAGAATGTAAGTATGTATGAATGAATGGATATAAAATTAGTCATATGATTAATGAATAATAATAATAAAGATCATCTTCACTGTCATCACGAAAGAAACCAGAGCATATAGAGAGACAAACAAGAGCATAGAGAGAGATAGATAGAGAGAGAGAGAGAGAGAGGAGAGAGAGAGAGAGAGAGAGAGAGAGAGACAAACAAGAGCATAGAAAAACAAACAAACAACACAACACAACACCACAAACCCATCCATCTCAGAAAGCAGTTGATTTATGGTCTGGTTGGCGTACGGATGAATCTGGGAACTAGTCCTCTTGGCTCCGACCGAGTCGATCTCATCAATGAACACAATGCAGGGTGCTCTGGCCTTTGCCGCATCTAACCAATCAATTAACCAATCAATTAACCAATCAATCAACCAACCAACCAATCAATCAATCAACCAACAAATAAAACGAACAATCAATCAGTCAGCCAGATGGTCATCAGTCAACCAGCCAATCAATCGCCCAATCAATCAAATCAAGTAACCAACCAACGAACCAAACAACTGCCTGACTCTTTTAGCACCAGTGCCAACAAATATCTCGTCGAATTCAGAGCCGGACGCGTGAAAGAATGGCACACCACTCTCCCCCGCCACGGCTCGTGCCAGTAGGGATTTTCCAATTCCAGGGGGTCCGACTAATAGTACGCCTAAATTAGTGATGAGGAAAATAATTACCTATTGGGGAGATAATTACTGATTAGTGAGAGAACAACAACTAATATAATTATAACTAATTAGGAAGATAGAGCAATTAGGGAAAGAAAAGCGATGGCAAATTTAGAAGATGATTAGCACCTTTAGGTAGTTTGGCCCCAAGAACTTTAAACTTCTCAGGATCTCTGAGATATTCTACGATATCTTTCAGCTCCTGCTTGGCTTCCTCCATCTATTTTTTGTTTTATTATTAAATTTAAATTATTTTAAAAATTAACTTAATTAAGTTTTGTTGAAAAAAACGGGCTAGTTTTTGAATTTTAGAAAAATAGACTGATTTACTGAACGCTTATAGAATTAGAACATTGTATTCACAGTCAATTTTTCACCACTCCAATCATCATCATCATCTTCCCCATCATCATCATCATCATTCTCATCATCTTCTTCCTCATCATCGTCATCATCGACAAACCCCTTTGACGTCATCAAATGTTACGGATATTTCCTCTGGGTTAATCTCGAATCTATCGCCTTTCAGTACGCTAATCTTAACATCTTGACATGTTAGGAGAGTAGAGCATTAATCATTTATCACTATCATCGTCATCATCATCAATGTAAAATCACCATCATCATCAACATTCATTCTCCTTCGTGTTTCCATCATCACGATCATCATCATCACCTTCCCATCATCATCATCTTCCCATCATCATCATCACGATCATCATCATCACCTTCCCATCATCATCATCTTCCCATCATCATCATCATCATCATCATCATCATCATCAACAACACTTACTTCCGCCGAATGGTGAATATAGTTGTACAACTTGCAAGACAATCCAACAGAGGAGGCCGTACCAGAAAAGTTTGGCCAGTCTTCGGGTCCAAATGCTGCTTGGACTCTGATCTTTCTTGGAACTGCTGCTGGCAAGGTAGCCTGGATGTGATGATGTGAGTATGTGTGTCTGAATTTGAAGTGTGTGTGTGTACGCGCACGCGTATTTGTTTGTGTGTATGTGTACGTGCGTGCGTGTGTGTGCGTGCGTGTGTGGTGTTTCAGTGAGGAGAATGATGATGTATGAGACATGATCAAGATGAAAATAATGTGATGAGAATGATGACAACAACAGGACAGAAGAATACAACACACGCGCGTCCTTACAAAAAACACCAGAACACAACAAACACACGCACACGCACGCACATACACACATAGAAACACACCTTCAGCAAATGCAATTTTAATTTTATCCTGTGTGCGTTTGTCTTGGCTCAGCTCTGTCAAAAGTACATCCAGTTTATCTGATGACATTTGACTGGTAATCTGCTTGGTGCCTGTTGACTGCTGTCCTGACAATTTATCTAGTACCTGTGTGTGCGCGCGTGCGCGCGTGTGTGTATGTGCGTGTGTGTATGTGGTATATCAATTCAATTCAATTTATTCAGCAAAAAGCATAGAGACACAGAAATGTGGTATATATATATATATATATATATATATATATATATATATATATATATATATATATATATATGTGATTATTATTTTTATACACACACACACACATATATATATATATATATATATATATACACATATATATATATGTGTAGGTGTGTGTGTGTGTATGTGTGTGTGAGAGAGAGGGAGAGAGAGGAGAGAGGGAAAGATACTACTAACAGATTTAACTCCGGAAAATATTCCAGTTTGTGTCATTTGATCTGTCATCATTCTGTTCGATCTCTTCGTCTTAAATGTCCTCAACTGGCTGTGTACTGCATGTGTGCATGTGTGTGTGTGTATGCGTGTGTGTGTGTAGCATGCAACTATTATATACCATTAAAACTTCTGCTTTTGCTACTACTACTAATACTACTACTACTACTACTACTACTACTACTACTACTACTACTACTACTACTACTAAAACCGAATGTTACTATTACTATTCAGTAATAAACTACAATAACTGCTTGGACTACTAGCTACTATTGATAAACACTAACGGATAGATTTCTGCATTCTGGTAAGTAAGGTTCTCAGGTGATCCCTGCCATTAGCACCTGCCAGACCAGCAGCACTGAAATTAGTGATTACATCTACGCTGGAGTTAGTACCCACTGCTTGCCGATCAAAAATTTATTACAAGAAATTAAAAATAAATTGAGAATTAATGGAGGAAATATTTCAGTAAGACCAATCTTTGTAAGAAATTTTAATTTTAACAGCAATATGGTAACAATAATATTTGTATTTATATAATAATATTTGTATATATAATAATTTAAAATATAATTAATAACATTATTCTTCTAGTAAAACACTAACCAAACTTTTCCGCCAGTTTTATGGTTCTTAAAAGATCCTTCTTATTCAAGAAAAGTGATGATGATGGTAGGGGCATCGATGATGATGATGGTGGGGATGGGGTTAATGAGGGTACAGAGGACAGGGATAATGATGAGGAGGACGGGGAAGAGCAGGAAGAAGGCAGTGATGGATCACTTCTTTTGAAGATCTGTGCATCTTCGATGCCAATGCAATTGAGAAATTCATTTATCTAATTGTGGAGGTGATTTTTATGATTTGATAATTAATATTATTATTTACTGACTTTATTAATTATTTAATTATAAAAAAATTTATTAATTATTTAAAATAAATAAACTATTGGTAAATGATAACTAGCTTGACACCATTATACATGCTGTTCTTCTATTTGATACCACACATAATAGATGCTTATTTAATAAGCAAAATAATATTCATGTAAAATAAAATTATAAATAAATAATTAAATTTATAAAAAGCTTTTAAAACAATTTTGATAACCAAATCATCACAGATAAGTACAAACGTTATGGCCGCTAAGAGTTATTTCGATGTTTCTATTATTAACATGATTTGATGATTTCTGTCGGACTGATTTAGGAAAATGGCCTCGCTTGTTGTACGTCCCTACTGACGTAAGTGAAGCAGGAAAATGTAATAGAGGAATGGTAAACTGGTTTTAAAAAACAAATTTTTAAAATTGAAATAACATTTTAGGGTAAATTAGTGAAATCTCAATTAAAATTTGATGACATGTGGATGTGTATAATCAATGAAAGTAAAAAATGGAATAAACATGGTTATGGTTATATTTTTATCCCCCAATGTTAAATTTTTCATTTTTATTCAATTCCTTCTTGAAAATTCTTTATTTATATTTGATAAAATATTGCGTCACATTCATTCAGTCATTCACTCCAATATATCGAATATATGAGTTCAATCAATTGCACATGGGTTTTGTAATGTAGTAGTAGCGGTATGTAAGGTAATTTTACAATTTTGAGATGATAAAATAAACGAATTAGAAAAAAAAAACAAAAAGATATTTCTACATTTTTATTGAAATGAAATTTGAATGCAAAAATGACAAAAAACGCTTAGTCTTAGTGGCAGTGTAGGGTTTTAATCATTTTCAATTTTTGAAATTTCTGAAACAAAAAATATCAAAAAATGACAATTAAAGCTGAAACCTGATTCTGAAAAAAACTCAAAGAATACATTTTAATGTTTTGTTTAAATTGGCTAATTTTTAATTATAAATTAATTTAATTTTAATCAAAAAAATGGCAAAAAAGTTGAAAATTCACAAAATATTTTTTTTTTTATTACAATGTCGTTCGTGGCCAAATTCGGTACCAAATATTATATGCAGGTAAAATGTGGAATTATCCAAAAGTTTTCAGTATAATTTTTAATAAATAGTATAAATAAAGTTTTAAACAAAATACGCAACTAAAATAAAATGTATAAATTTAAAATTTTTAAAAACTGCGCGTGAATTATAACTGCGATTAATAAAAACAAGTTACAAACAAAAAAAAGTATCAAATGTGTAATAAAAACATCAAATACAATATACTTAAAACAAATACACATTAGACCGTACGTATAAATTATGAATATAATCATATATGTATATATTTTATACATATTATATAACTTATTAACGTTGCAAGCTTTCTGCTGCTCTGAAGATATTATATATAAGCAGCAATTATCTGGAAAAGTTTTCCATAAGAAAGTTTATGCATCCCATTTTGTGCTATACTCAGAAACATTTTCTAAGTTTAAACAGATTTCTTTTTTGATATTTCATTCTTTTGTTTGAAGTTCTTTTAAATAATTCTTTTAAAAAATGAATCCTGAAGAGAATAAAGATAAGGAGGAGAAGAGAGAAAAATCCCCGGAAAAGTTTTTGTTATTTTATTACGATGATATTTTAAAGTTTCAATTTGTTGCGTATATGAAAATAAAAGACTACAAACACGTTGTTTCTAGAAATGATAATAATAATTATCTTTGAATAGGGAAAAAGAAGAAAAGAAAGAAGAAGCAGAGAATCAGCAGAGAGTTCATTCAAACGTCGACATGATTCTTCCACCGTGCGAACTTGAAACCATCTTCGCAAAAAACATTTTGATGCCTAGCAATCCTTTGCCATCTTCAATCACTTCATCCATTATTTCTCCATTCGAAATGGAATTAACGGAACTGAAAGTGAAAGTTGCATGTCTGGAAAAAACTAGTGCAGCTTTGAAACTGGAGTTGAAATGCGCCGAACTTCAGGTTGAGGCCAAGGACAGGGTAGATAAACAGAAAACTCGTCTCATAGAGCTGCTTGATCACAAAGTGCAATCCCTGGAAAGCAAAAACAACAGACTGATTGAAATGGTTGAAGGGTTGATTGAAGAGAAACAATCTCGTTCTAACAGATTGTTGGATGCCACGAAAAGCATGGAAACTCTGACGAGCAAGTTGGAAAACAGTGCGAGAGTGCAGCAGGAACTGCGCCATAACAACGAGGAGTTGAAAAAAATGCTGAACAACATGCAGAACAAGGGATCCCAAATCGCGAAACTCGCAAAAGAAAAGTTGGTAAAGTACAAAGACGAGAACGAGAGAATGCAGGGCGAACTCGATGATTACAAGCAATCCGCAGAGGTCCTCTCAGCTGATTTCGCGCCTGAATGGGACATGTTAAACGATCTCGGCAGTCAACTGCAAGGAAAATTAAGTGCCGCAAAAACGTCAGAGACTTCAGAATCAACAGCTGAAATTCTTCTCTCGGCTGACGGCCTGAACAACGAGATAAAGAACAAAGTAGCTAACATACAGACAGAAACGATCGCCACAGTTTCAAAGTACGCCAACGCAAACGAGAAATTATTGACTCAAGTGAACAATCTGAAGCAGAGCATTTGTGACCTTCAAAAGCTGAGCGATAAAACCTTGAAAGAAACTGCAACGCCCTCTCTCGTCGAGTTAGCCGAACTGAGGGACGCCATCAGTAACTTGTCGGCCGAGCTGGGGACGAGACTTTAAGAAGGGCTGTGACGTCATCACCATTTGAGGGGTTGTGACGTTACCATCATTTAAAACTTTGAAGTTCCATTTTCGTGCAACTGATAGTTTTGTGATAAAACATCTTTTAGATTTTTAAGTATTTGATAATATAGAGTTATTCACTTTTTATATAATCAATTATAATAATGAAAGGACATTCGCACTTGAAAAATGTTCAAAGATGCTACTTACTAGGTAACTAAATGTAACATAAATTTTTTTTGTTCACCTTCTTTTGAGTTGTACAACTATAAAAAACTAACTCGACTTGAACTGACTCAGAAAATCTTTCGTTCATTTATTCATTTAAGTTATTCATTCATGCAACAAATTAAATAGAAACAATTAAACAATCAACTAAATAGAATAAATGGTTAAAATAAATTAACAAATCTCGCACATAGTTGACATACTTGGCAAATGTAAGTTACACGATTGACTGGCGAGAAATAAAACTAAAGTATATAAATTAATGGCCATCAAAGGTTACTACCAAGTATAATAAAATGTAACATCGAGTATCTTAATACACGAAAGATTAACATGATACAAATATGCGTGGAATTAAAAGATAGGAATCGAACTATAGTACCAGATCTTTAACATTGCGACAGCCCGACAACTGTCTCCCTTCACCTCTAACAACACATAATAAATCGCAAGCTCATTTTTTAAATTCACATTAAATAATGTAGTAGTTTGAATTATTATTTTGATTTTAATAAAAAAAACAAATAAAATAAAGTTATTATTGGCACATATAAATGATGGATGCAGACAGATAGACAGACAGACAGACAGACAGACATACATACAAACACTCAGACAGAGAGACGGACAAACATACAGACAGACACTCATACACAGACATAGAGAAACAGACAGACGATTATGACAAACCAGGCAGATTTTATTTAAAGACGCTATCAACGATAGACTGGGCCTCCATCTTGTGGATCTCCCCAATGCCCACAGCCGGTGTGGCCCCCTCCTTCCGTCCACTGTACCTCAACTAATAATAATAACAATAATTAATAATAATAATATTATTATTATTATTATTATTAATTATAGTTATTATTACTATAAATTTAAACAATTTTTTTAACCTTTAGCCCGAGTACGTTACTGAGTCTGGTGTTGGCAAATGACCAAGCCCCTTGGTTTCTATGCTCTTCCTGGCTCCATATATATTCTATCGCGATATTTATGATTATAGATATTAAAATTATAGTTATTATTATTATTATTATTATTTATTATAATATGTTATTATAAATATTATTCTTTGCAACCTTTAACCCTTTTGTACTTTTTCAATTCGACTTGTATCTCCAATATTGGGAATGGACAGAGAGACTGTTGAATCGTTGAATGGAAAAAAATTATTCGTTCAATCAATCAGTTAATCAGTCAATCAGTCAATCAGTCAATCAGTCAATCAGTCAATCAGTCAATCAGTCAATCAATCAATCAATCAATCAATCAATCAATCAATCAATCAATCAATCAATCAATCAATCAATCAATCAATCAATCAATCAATCAATCATTACTTCAATCCTAATGAGTGCTACATCATTCCTCTTCCTGTTATCTCGTTCGTTCAGCAAAGTATAATAATGCTTTCCTGATACAAAGACAACCTTTCAAAAAAATCAAGTTCGTTAATAATGATGATGATGATGATAATAATAATAATAAGAAGAAAAAAAAATGTCACTGACCTTAGTTACATGTTTAGGATCAAGAGTGTCATCAGGTAAGATAGGTTTAAAGAAGGTTCCTGGCGACATTTCAGATAAGCTAGATGTTGCTTGGGGGTGCCTTAATAAACCTTTTGGTGCTATAACGATCAACGGCTTTCTGTAATCTCTAACCATCTGGATGTAAAATTAACGAAAGAACGATAGTGCGTGAATGAATTGAGGGAAGAATGAATGGTTGAATGATGGATGAATGAGTGAATGAATGAATGAATAAATAATAAAAACAAAAATATCTATATCGTTACCGTCACTGCCATCATCATCATAACTGACCTGTCTTCTTAAAAGATGAAAAAACTGAGCTGGCGTCGTGGGATTGGCTACTTGAATGTTGACGTCATCGGCATCCACTCCGTCCTCCTTACTATCTGTAGCCTGTGATTGGTTGAGTAACTTGTGTAAAATGCATAGATTAACATAATTAAGCTACAATTGATTGCATGTGATCACTCAAAATATATATAAACACACGCACACACGCACACTCGCACATATACATCCACAAACAGATACAAGCACACAGAAATGAAGACGGGTACCTGAAGGAACCTTTCGATTTTACAGGAAGAATGCTCTGGACCAGCGCCATCTAGCCCGTGTGGAAGTAGAAGAGTCAAACTACTTTGCATCAGCCATTTTGCTGTTGTTGTTGTTGTTGAGTCCACATCATCCTCATCATCTTCGTCATCATCATTCCAATCACACACACCCTCACAAACTCACTCTCTCCGCCAGTGACGAAGGTATCAATAATGATCTGGGCCCCGTTGAAAAAGTCTCCAAATTGGGCCTCCCATATTGTTAGGACGTTGGGACCCTCCACGCTGAAGCCGTATTCAAAACCGAGGACTGCCTCTTCTGAGAGGGGACTGTTTGCTACCTGGTCGGTCGGTTGGATGGTTGGTTGGATGGTTGATTAGTTGGTTGGTTGGTAGGTTGGTTGGTAGGATGATTGATTGGTTGGTTGGTTGGTCGGTTGATCAGTGAGTTGATTGGTTAGTTGGTTGATTGGTCGGTTGGTCGGTTGGTTGATTGGTCGGTTGGTTGGTAGATGGTGGATTGATTTGATTTGGAGAATTATTGGTTGATCAAATGAAGAACCTTTTCAAATAGAAAAATTAATAGTGTGTTGTGATTGGATAAACAAAATTTAAATAAAAAACAATCGACCAATCAAATAAACAGACCTCAAAAAAGCCCTTCTGATCAGGTCTCAACTGGTTTAGGGGCACGAAAGCCTCATCGGTCAGCTGATCAACGAACATGGCATGTCTGTGACTGAACGTACCCCTACCGACATCCTGACCACTCAAACGCACGTGCATGCCCTGATTTAAAAGTGAACCTACAGCGAGGGCTTCGGCCGTCGGCCAATCGATGTCCGAGCCCCCGACCAATTTTTGGAGTCGTCTGTCGATATGGCTCTTTTGCAGGGTCGGATGGGGTCGCTGCAGTTTTGGGGGCATATTTTTTAAGGGGGAAGTTTTAAGATTGGTTGAATGAATGAACGAGAAGTTAAATGAATGAATGAATGAATGAACGAACGAATGAATGAATGAATGAACGAACGAACGAAAAATGAACCTTTTGTCTTAAATATTGTCCAACAACAACAACAACAACAACACACGTTTAGACGAAATTATCCCCGAGATCGGGGGTTGCCGTTTGGCTACCTATGATGAAACCATTGTCACTTCTGTCATCATAAGTAATTTATTTGGCTAATTTTTACGCAGGACGCCCTTCCTTACGCAACCACAGTTATAATCGGTGGGTTTAGCCTTTGATGATCCAACATCACTCACAAGGCAGTGAGGGTCAGTTTAATGTCATAACCAGGACATTGTCTTAAATATTGTCCATCAAACATTATTAAACGAACGAGAAGAAAAATATAAAGAAGGTTAAAAAAGACTTCAAATTTTGAAAGATTATATATTCCAATTCAAAAAATTTAAAACAAAAATAAACCGCGAACAAAATTTGGCGGTAAGGTGACAGATTTGGCGCCAATATATTTCAAATCATCGATATCAACACCGGTGTCCCAGACTGTGATCTGATTGGTCGACTTGCTCATGCCACCCCACTGACGAGTTAAATGATTGGCCTGAGGAAATAATAATAGTAATAACAACAATAATAACAATCATCATCAACATCGTCATCTGCATCATCATCATCATCGTCATCATCATCATTATCATCATCATAACCTTAGGGATGTGCGTATCAATAAGTTTTAGCTGTTCAGATAGGTATTCGTTCCATTTCGCGACATCAGACGTCAAATCATCTCGGGTGCATACTTTCTCTCGCTGAGTAAATGAGCGAGTGAATGAGTGAATGAATGAATGAATGAGTAAATGAATAAACAAGTGAATGAAAAACACTTGTAGTCAATCAATCCGCCAATCAAATAAATTCGACAACTATCACCAACAACGAGCAAATCTGTGTATAAGTCCGGGACGTTAGACCGGCTCCTGATGGCCTTGTACATGATTGGCTGGGTGAACGAGGGCTCGTCCAACTCATTGTGCCCCCACTTCCGGTAACAAATGAAATCGACGATGATGTCCTTCTCAAACCTCTCCCTATACTCAGTTGCTATTTCGCAAGCCCGTGTTACACTCTGGAAGTAGCAGGTTGGTTTGTATGTTTGTTGCTAAGATGACATTATGAAGAGGGAAAAAGAAAGAGAGAGAAAGAGAGAGAGAGAGAGAGAGAGAGAAAAAGAAAGAAAGAAAGAAAAAGAGAGAGAGGGAAGTGAGAAAAAGTAAGCACATTATCATCATTCTAACCTCAGGATAATCAGCGTTGACTCTTAGAACAGGGCAGTCAATCATTTTGCCAATATCACTGCAGTTGTGACTAGATCTGTGTGTGCGTGTGTGTACGTATGTGTGTGGTCTGTGTATGTATTAATGTATGTATGAATGTATATATGTGTTGTGTTTTTTTTGTATGTATTTCAAACTCAAATTTAAAATAAATGTGTTTTCGTATGTAACATTACTACTGCTTCTTCTATTGCTGCTACTACTACTACTGCTACTACTACTACTACTACCACCACTACTACGACTACTACTACTAATAATAATAACCTTCCTCTATCGGCTTCAGTGGTGAAACCGATCTGATTATTAATAATGAGATGCAAGGTCCCGCCCACTGAAAAATTAGCAACGTTGGCTAATAGGAACGTTTCTGCTACGATGCCCTGGGTCATGAATATTAATTAAGTGGCTGTTATGAATGAATATTAATTATGGGGCTTTGTGAATGTCAATTAGGGAGCCATTACTAATATTGTTATCCAATAACATATACTAGAGAGATAGCATCATAACTTTCATCGTCATCATCATTACCATCATCATAATCATTACCATCACCATCATCATCATCATTGTCATCATCATCATCATCGTCATCATCATCACCACCTGTCCAGACATGGCAGCATCACCATGAACATGCAAACATAGAACTCGATTGCGCCTTCCGTTATTATTATTATTATTATTAATCGGGCCATCACTGTTTCCGTAGTAGCCAGTAGCCAATGACTGCATTCTGGCTCGGGCTTTTCCAGTAGCTATGGGATTTCCCGCCTTTTTTGGCGTGAAAATAATTTCTATGGTTATTTATCGTTGTTATTCATTCATTCATTCATTCATTCAATTCATTCACCCATCCATTCACCAATCCATGCAAGACCTCGAGATGAGATGGATTCGGAACCATGGTCACGTGGATGAGTCTCCCGTCGTACTCCAGATCAACGGACGATGCTTCGGTGAAATAATAATGATAATAATATTCATCATCATCCTCAACAACAACAACACACGTTTAGACGGCATTTTCCCCGAGACGTCATCATCCTCAACATTATAATTATTATCATCATCATCATTCAATCAATCACTCACTTACTCACTCATTCATACATTTATTCACTCAATCAATCAATCATTCATTCATTCACTCATTCATTCACTCACTCACTCATTTATTCATTCATTCACTCACTCATTCATTCGTTCATCCATTCAACCAACCAACCAACCAAGAAGATAAAATGATAAAATCAACAATGTAAATTGCTTAGAGAAGAATGAAATATTCAAAAAGGGCAAAAAACTCTTTCAAACTGAGATGTGAGAGGACATCTCCACTGGCTTTCACTCCATCAGGGAACTCTCTCCTTCCTTTCATCTGAGAAATAAAGGAATAAAATGAACGAATGAATAAAGGATGTGAGGAATGAGTGAATGAATAAGTGAAGAAATGAATGAATGAATGAAAGAATGAATAAATGAATGAATGGAATGAACAAACGAACGAACGAACGAAAGAACGAACAAATGAATGAATGAATGAATGAACGAATGGAAGAATAAATGAATGAAGGAATGAACGAACTTTTTGAAACATGGTAACAGGTGGAAAATTGAGCAAACAAGTCAGTAAGTTCAACCTCCCTCTGTGATTCATTGATATCACCATGCTGTCCAGGTCATCTGAATGATTGATTGATTGAAAAAAATGAACAAATGATGAATGCATGAATAAATGAATGCATGAATGAATGAATGAATGATTGTACAACATACACAAACGAATGCCAAGACATACTCTGGGCGGATAGTTGGAAGAGATAATCAAAAAATATCATGGCGCTCTCCCCACCCTCTCCTCCATACCTCTTCACCGTCGTAAACTTGTTGGCCAGGAAATGATCAAATGCCTAAAATTAGGGAAAGAATAAAAAATATTTGACAGTGCTGATAACGATGATGGGATGATGATAGCTATGATAACAACGTTATTAATTAGGATGATGATGATGATTGCGATGATTAAAATGATGATGATAGCAATGATGAAAATGTCGATGATGATGATGATTACACAAGAAAAAAAAACTGAAATTAGTTAGATGTCAACCTGAGACTTGAGCATGAGTTTAGCATAATGTACCTTCTGATCATTAGTGAGGGTTCTTATAGGAAACTTTTCCATCCTTTTGGCAAACCACACTCTCTCATCCAAATTCTTATAATGTAACAAAAAAATTAATGAATGAATGCATAAATGAATGCATGAATGAATGAATGAATGAAAGTATAAATGTGTAGATAGGTGAATGGATGAATTGATAATACCTGGATGTGTTCAAACTCAGCAGACAAAGTACCACAGTACACATTTTGCAAAAGTTTCACTAATTCACTAATTGTTAGTTCATGGGTCTCTGGGGTGTACAACATGTCATTTATTTTATATCTATGGTTGTCATCTAGGGATAATCCATAACTCTCTGGATTCAGCTCAGGCACTGGACTATGTTATTTGCAATGAAAATTATTTTTACATTATAAAAAAGTTTGATTTCTATGTCATTAAGATATTTATGCAAATGTGTAAAAGAACAAATAAATGTTAAAATAACTATTGAATTACAAACAATTTGAAATTATATCTATACCAAAATTAACTTTAACTTTTTTTTATATTAAAAACTATTACCTAATTTTTTTCAAATTTAAAAGATCAGTATTGGCAATGATGTGTCCGAATCTTCTGTAGGCAGATATGAAACTGTGCAGACGATAGTCAGAATATACTTTCAGTTTATCTTGTTTAGTCAGAGTAGAGAAATAAAATTAATGGAATTAAAATTTTAATTATTCAATCAATCAGTCACTTAGTAGTGTGATTTTAGGACATTCAATTGAATATTTATACAATTTATCATTTATATTTCAATAAAAATGGTTTTTTAATTAAAAATAAATCACAAAAATTAAAATAATTAACAGATCACTACTTCCATTATCTTTTTTCTTGCCAACGTTTTCCTTAGGTTGCCCGTAAATGCCGTTATTTGTGTGGTATAAATTGGAAGATACATTTAGAAATTGAAAGTTTGCGACTCTTTTTAGTGTAATAAATGCATTTAAGTGTTTAAATTCGTGTGTCAACATTTCAATTTTGCACAATTTTCAATTAAATCACAACTTATGGCGATCTAATCTTCGATCACGGTCGACTTTTCGCCACTTGATTAAAGGTAAACTTATTTTAAGCAATAAAATCAAAATAAACCATTTATTTACTTAACACAAGATTAATAGTGTAGTTAAAAATTTTTAATGATAAAAAGAATTTGTTCAAACAAATAAATGAAATAATTCTATTGCGAAAACTAAACGCGCATTCTAGCGGCATTTTAAAAATAAATTTAATCAAAGTATGGCCGCCGAGAAGACGAGGATTTCTTTAAAATGTGACGAAAAAGAACTATTAAAAGACGACAACGTTCATTTTATTCCTTGCAAATTTGATCCGGATAACAAAGAGAACATTGGTTCAGATGCGAAGTCGGATCGGATCAAGAATTTTTTCCACTCGTCTATTTTCTGTGAAAAGAATGACAACGGCAGTTACGAAGGTGGCTACTATTTTTATAATACTATTTTTATTTTTCAAAATTTTTTTTAAATTCATTCTTTAAATTGCTCTTGTTCACTATGATATTTAAATTGAATAGTAAATGATTATGGCAATAACTAATCCTAATTAATTTGCTAAAACTAAAACTTCTTGATCTCTAATAACACTAACTACCTAAATTTTAGGTAATTAGTGTTAGTTAGATCAAGAAGTTTTTAGCTCCTAAAATTCTAACATATTCTGCTATCAATCACTTTCTAAATTTAACTGACAAAATTATGTTTGTTTAGTAATTTAGTTTAATTTCAGTTTTCTAATTAGTTATTAATTCTTATCTAATGTTTTTTAATCTGATCTTTGTTGTTTATACTTTATATTAAAAATTAATATATTTTGTTAGATGTTCTGCATGCCTCTATCAGGGGTAGACCATTAGTTGGAACTCGTATGAAACTTCCTCAAGGATATGAAGGTGTGTGTATGTGTTGTATGTCTATGTTTGTTTTGTGTCTGTCTGTCTGTATGTGTGTGTGTGTGTGTTTGCGTGCTACTTCATTGACTTTATGTCATCATTTTTTATTTTTTTTATCTATAAAACAAAAATATTATAAACTCTGATTCCGGATTGCTTTGAAATTTATTGTTTTGAATGTGAAATGGTATAGTGGTTGATTGTTTTTCATATTTTATGTCACTAATTACTTAAAATTTTATTTAGGTATAGTCCTAGAAAAAGAAGAACATTCAGAAGAGGAGGAGCATAAAAATTATAAGATTAGGGAAAAATTCAAAAGCCTAACATATTGGAATCTGGATTCAAAACCTAATCTGGATGACAAATTCAGGCAGGCCTTAAAGTGGATTGAGATTTCAAAAGCTGTAAATTTATTTTCAGTTTTTTTTTTCCGAATTTTTTTGTTAACTGTAATTTTGATAAATATATTATATACTATTGAGTAATAGTAGAAATATTTAAAAAATGATTTAAATCTTAATTTGCAAACTTAGTTTGATGGGCCTACTAATTTTATTGTGATACTGTTGACTGGGTCCTTTACTGTTCTATAAAAATGTTTTTTTTCCAATTCTTCAAAGATTCACTGTTCTGATTCTTCGGAAAACAAAGTGCCATCCTCATTATCATCAACATAAAAAGTTTTCTTTTAATCACTTTAGTCTTATTTATTTGTTTATTTTATTTTAGTATACTTTTTATCCAGAATATTTCTAATAAAATATTTCTATATCACTATCACATGTTTTAAAAATTTGTGAGGAATAATGATTAGTTTGAGTTTGATTAAAACAGTTAGTTAAATTGATTCCAATGTGCATTCTAAATTGAATTATGTAGTTTAAAAATGTCAAGATATTGAAATCAAATCAAATTGATGTAGACATTAAAGGATCCCTTTAAAAGCGTGTCTGCATAGAAAGGGGGTAGCTGTATGTAGTATAAAAAAAAATTTGTACATAGTTTTTTTAAATGATTAAAATATTTAATAGTGTGTACTTACGTCATAAGATCCAGGGCCTGGGGTATCACTGACCTTGACATTGAACAGTAGCCTTGAACTTTTCGAGAATGTCTGGCCGGCGTTATTGTTGCTAATTTTTCTGCCGTTAATATTTGTTACGTTGTAAGTCGCCGGACCTGGCGTTTGTATCGGTTATAATAGTGTTTTTTATAAACGGTTTCAACAGCTTAAAATTTGATTTAAGTAATGAAAGTTTAGGATAACAATTCAATAAAGCTTGGGAAGCACTGTTTCCCAGCGTTGTACATGCATTTAATTACGGTTATGTGTAATCGATGCAAATTCAGTTTTACGGGGAAAATAAACAGTTTTACCGTTAAATTTTTTCGAATTTTACTAATTACTAACATTATTAATACTAATTGTGTACCTGGAGTCGAATCTAATGCAGATGCATTTAAATATTTGGCGATGTCGTTTTTTAGTTGCTTCTTTCTTTGAATAACATTAAGTTTTTCGTTATCTGAATTCTTTTTATTAGCATTAGATCCTTTCATTTTTACGGGCTGGCTATTCAAGAAATTTAAATCAAAGTCAGAGCTTGAAAATAGCTAGAATTATAACATTTAATTAGTTAAAATTAAATGTTTTTGTTATTGTTGATAGTATTTTAATGTTTTACCTTTTGTTTATTCATTTTAAACAAGCAGACCCTTTAAAAAATTATATAATGTAGAATATTATAGCTTTTTTTATTTGCAGTATATTTTTAATATTAAGTTTCCTTGGAGATCCCTTAGTGCTGCAAGAAAAGTTTACAAAATTTAAGTTTAACTTTAGTTATAACTAAAAAAATTAGTTAAACTTTAAATTAGGGAGATGAAGAGTGTTTAAATTAGTGACAAACTCGACTGTTTCGTACATTTTTTAATTCAATGGTATCGGGTTCTATGCTATCAAAAACTTCATTTGATCTTCAACGTTCTTTGTTACTGGTCTCGGTTAAAAGTGAAACCGCATCGGTCCATGTATATAAAGCTTCATTCCGTTTTAAGTTAGAAAGAGTTGCGTCGTCATTTTGGTTGTCTACCTGTTCGTTATCGGTTTTTTTAATTTTTCAATCAGAAATGGGTCGAGATTCCGTTGGTAAGTTGCTAAAATGTTTATAATGAACGAATTTAATTACAAGATTTATCCGGTATTTTTGTTATCAGTTATTTATGGTTTTTAACTATGAAAATGGCTGCCTTTTTTCATGTTTCCAGACAATGGAAGCGATAAGGAAGAGCGAGAAAGGTACAGATCTGCGAGGGATAGAACGTCAGATGGGGACAAAGATCATAAATCAGTAGACGATGACGACCTATCCCCACCTTATATTGTATGCCTCTGCGGACTGCCCTACTCTGCTACTCCAGCTGATATTACAGACTTTCTTAGTGGTCAGTTTTCATTTTTTTCTTGTTAATTTTATTTAATATTAATAGTTATTAATTGTTTATTAAAAAGTAATAAAACTATGTCAAAATGTGTAATTCTTTAATTTTATTGTCATCTTTGTATAATTATTTTTTTATATAAATTAGGTTGCGAGGTTTTGGGCGGAAGTAAAGGAATTCACATTGCCATTGGAGTCAATGGCCGACCAAATGGCATTGCATTTGTTGAATTGAGTGCGTACTCGGATGTTGTCTGTGCGAAAGAGAAGCACAAGCAGAACATGGGAACTAGGTACATTGAAGGTAAATAAATTTATGCTAATTAATAACTTTTAAAGATTATTTAACGTTGTTTTATGTTAATAATATTTCTTACAAATTTATCTTTATCATTCTCTACTTTTAAATTCTCAAAAGTTCGCAGAGTATCTGAGCAGGAAATGAAACGTCTGCTGGATAAATGGAAACCGAGGAGAGACCCTGTGAATGCAGTGGTCTGCATCAAGGGACTACCTTACAACTGCACCAATGATGACATTAAGGAATTTTTTGACGGTCGGTGGATTTGGAAAAACTTGAAATGAACATTATTTTTAATTATTCGTTTTTTTCTCTTATAAAGTAATTTTTAATCAGATAAAGAAATTTTTAGTTTCGATATTTATTCTTTAAACTTTATGGCTTCAAGTACAAATGTTCATACACATACATATATTTGTACATGGATGTGATGTTTACCTTAATTGGGCTGAAGGTTGGTTGGCTTTTTAATAATTGCTGTTAACAGGTCAACAACAATAATGATATGTGGTTGGTTGGTCGGTCATTTGGTCACATGTGGTCATTCGTTCGATCAATCAGTCACATATATGTTCAAATGCCCACACACAAATATATTCTTCTATTCTTCACACACATACGCAAGCACCCAGACAAACACAAACATGGTAAAACAGGGTTGGAGATAGAAACAAACGGTATTATGATTGTATTGGATGAAAGGGGTCGTGTGTGTGGTGACGGTTTCGTACACTTTACATCTCTCAAGTCGGTTGATTTGGCGCTACGAAAGCACAAGGAGAAAATTCGACACAGGTGTCACAGTGTCGTGTGGTATTTTTGGTGGTTTTTGTGGTTGTGGTGGGGTTTTTGGGGGTCGGTATGGTTGTGGTGGCTTGGTTGGGGGTATCTCTTTTGAGAAAGAAAAAGATTTTTTTGGTTTTTGGTGTTTTTTATGCATTTTAATATGTAATCTATTTATTAGTGTGTTTTTAAGTTCATTATTTACTTCCTGTCTGTCTGTTGTAGGTTAGCAGTTTATACTTTATGTTTTAACTTTTTCCATTTCTGATGTTTCTACTTCGGGTCAAGTTTCAAAAAGAAGAAATTTTTCTCTTCCTTCGTTGCACTAACTAACTAATTTCATTCGCGATCTCACAGATACATCGAGGTGTACAGGAGTGACCTGAGAGAGATGTACCCCAGATCTCATAGCGGCCACCATCCGTTCCACGGTGGCAGTACCTTTGGCACCCCACAGTTCTTCTTGAATACTTTTGGAAAATTAGGAGGCGGGGGTGGTGGGGATTTCCACGATTTCAGGAATAATAATATGGGATTGCATGAGGATCGGCACCAGCACCATAGAATGGATGCACCTTACGGCCGTCGGGATGATTTTGGACCCTCCAGAAGTTCGTTTTTTTTCTGCCATGAAAAGTGGAATTAAAAACTTCAAGGAATTAGCGCTACAAATTGTTTTGAAAACATTTCCACCCACAGATAGGTACAGAGAGAGGGATTTGGACTATCGCCGACACCCGTACGACAGACGCTCTCCACCTCCATATCGTCGAAATCGCTCTCCATCCCCGGACAGACGACATTCGGACACGTACAGAAAGCCGGCCTACAGATACAGGGAGCCCGTGCCTCCATACAGATCGAAAACTGGACACAGCGTTCACATGAGAGGCCTCCCTTATACCGTCTCCAAGGATCAGATTATTAATGTTCGTTCATTTTTTGGCATTTTGAGTTGTGGCTGTTGTTACTTTGTTGCAAACATGCATACATTGTTGCTTTGTTGCAGACATGAACACACTCAAAGCATACGAAAAGCATACATACAAACACATACTAAGATACAATTAATGCGTAGTATTTATGCATGCATACACACATACACTGAAAGTATACAAAACAACGCACACTTACAACGTGTACAAGACACAAACAAGTATACAAAGAATACGTACATGCAAAACAGTTTTTCAGCCCCGTTCTGCCGGTAGACGTGACCATAGAGATGCTGAGTAATGGGATGAGGACAGGAAATGCTAACGTCGATTTCGCCACTGACGATGACGTCAGAGAGGCCATGATGAAAGATCGAGAGAAAATAGGTAAAAGAATGATGATTATGATAGTAATGATGTCTCGGTGTCGTTGATGATAATGATGGTAGAAGAAATTGGTAAATATTGATTATGTTTGTATTATATTGATTTGGATAATGGCGATTACACTGACGATGAAGATGATGACGGTTGTAGTAGTAATGGTAATTATGTGTGTGTGTGCGTGTGTGTGTTTTATGAAATTTTGATTTAGAAGTTAATTGAAGAATGAGTTAATTAACATTTCTTTCTCAATTGCAGATGCGCGTTACATTGAGTTGTACAATAACAAGGATCGAAATTGAAGACTTCATTGATTGATTGATTGATTGATTGACTAATTGATTGGCTAATTGATTGAGAATAAGTTGTTTTCGTCGAGTGATTTAATCAATATTTCTCTTTATTTGTTTGCCATTAAAGGTTGCGGGCTTGATGCTGCTATTGCTAGTTAGCTGCCAACGCTGGCTACGAAAAAATCTGTATTTTATCAGAAAATTATGAACCAATGTATAGAATTTTATCAAAAGTATCTTACATCGTTGCTGTTCCCTCTTGAGTCGTTTACAACAGTCGAATGTTTTATCTCGAATGGCTACCGGCTGTTAAATGTATCGGTATTTATTTTTTGAAAGTTTCAAAGGCGTTGTCAATATTTTTGTATTCTTCGAGCTGTCCTCCAGGGAAAGAGCTAACATTTTACCCACGACCAGGCATTCGATGGTTAATATTTGATGTTTAAATCGTTTGAATTAGCTTATCACGAAATAAGTTTTTAAAAACAGGCTAAACGTTCTGAAGACAGTGTAACATGGTTTTGAATCTCGAGATTACCATTTAGAAAGACGTTAATCTTTGAAAATTTTAATAATCGTCAATGGAGATATACATTTGACATACGGAAGTATTCGGTCACTATCGAATATCGGTTTTTTCCTGGTGTGGGTCAAAGCCGATACCGATTTAGTTTAAGTTAACGATAATGTTGATGTTGACGATCAGGCTGATCACATAGTCGGGTAATTAGGTTTACAGTTGTCTTTTACAATTATGGTTTACAGTTACAATTTTCCTGATTATGGGGGATGGCGACGACTTAACAAAAATTTCTATTACTTTTCCTATATGTTTATCGGCGGACACTGGACGCTTATGAATATTTTACATGGTCAGTCTATTGTTGCCTGTTAGATGTATGCTTTGTTTGTGTGTGTACTTGTGAGTGTGTGTGTTTTTATGTGTGTTCAAGTCTATATTACGTATATATGAATGTGTGTGTGTGTGTGTTTGTTGGTTCTTTTATGAACAACGCATTTAAATTGTTCGCCTTCATATTTTAACGCCTGCCTCTGGGGGCCAATAAGAAGAATAATAATAACGTCGGCAACAACGATGGTAACATTAATAATATTAATAATAATAATAAATTATAAGTAATAAATAAATAATAATAAAATTGTTATTTTCAACATTGGACAACTGCGAATGCTGAATATGAGCTGGTGGCCGTAACTCAATTTATGTATGCATTGAGTATGTTATATATATATATATATATATATATATATATAGAGAGAGAGAGAGAGAGAGAAAGTGAAACAAATAAAACCCAGTGGGTGAAAAAGTCCAGATTGGTAAAAAACAAATGTAAAAAAGATGCCAAAATAGAGTGATAGAGTGATAGAAAGAGAGGGAGAAGAAGAAATGAGATAGATAGATAGAGAGAGAGAAAGAAAGAGAGAGAGAGAGAGAGATGTACCTAGTCTAATTGCTGTCCTGTTGATGATGTGTTCTACCGCTTATTCAATAGCCCGAGGTGTAAGCTGGTCTTGAATAACTATCATCATCAACACCATCATCATTATCACCATCATCAACACCATCATCATTATCATCATCAACACCATCATCATTACCATCATCACTAACACCATTATCACCATCATCATCATTAACATCATTATCATCATCATTACTCATAAAAGTTATTCTTGTCGTATATCTGTTGATAAAATCCAAAAATTTGTTCTATTCTATTTAACCGTGATGATGGTGATGATAATGAGATGATGAAGATAATGATGAAGAAGATGATGATGATGATAATGAAAAAGAGGATGATGATGAAGATGACGACAACGACGTTTTAAAATTATTTATTTGCTGTATTTATTTGGCAGTTGTTATTCGCATTTGTCACTTTGATACGAAAATAAAAATTGTATGATAATAATAAGAATAATAAAAAGAATAAGAATAATAATAAGAATAATAATAATCAACATCATCATCATCATCTCTGTCGATAATTATATTACCTTATCTATATTACTTAATATACGAACGGACAGCCCTTATTAGCCATATATTTCTCTCATCTTGATTAAAGCTTTAATCATCGTCGTCGTCGTCATCATCATCATCACCATCTCGGTCATCATTATCATTACCATCATCATCCTTATCATTATCACCATCAGAATCATCACCATCATCATCACCATTCATTATTATCATCATCACCATCATCATCATCACGTGACCGTGAAAGAGCGAATTTTTGCAGAGGATGAAAACAGGCGAAAATCAAGCTTCACAACTGTTATTATTATTATTTATTATTATTATTGTTATTATTGTTGTTGTTGTTGTTGTTGTTGATGTTGTTGTTGTCGTTATTATTATAAATGTGTGTATGTTTAGATTTTGTTAACAACTTTGATTACATCAACAAAAGCAACTGCTACTGAAAACATTCTTCACGAGATCAAGAATGAAAAATTAGTAATAGTAGTAGTAGTAGCAGTAGTAATAGTAATAGTAGTAGTAGCAGTAGTAGTAGTAGTAGTAGTCAAGTAGTAGTAGTAATAGTAAAAGAAATAGTAATAGCAGTAGTAGTAGTAGTAGTAGTAGTAGTAGTAGTAGTAGTAGTAGTAGAAGTAGTAGTGGTAGTAGTGGTAGTAGTAGTAGTAATAGTAGTAGTAGTAGTAGTAGTAGAAGTAGTAGTGGTAGTAGTGGTAGTAGTAGTAGTAATAGTAGTAGTAGTAGTGGTAGTAGTAGTAGTAGCAGCAGCAACTGTAGCGGTATAAGTAGCTGGAGTTGAAGTAGCCGCTAAATAAGCAGCAGCAGCAGTGGATCAAGTTGAAAATAATACATCGAAAATGATGACTGTGATGGCTTTGATGATGCTAATGATAAATGATAACAAACGATAGAGATGATGGCAATGATGATGATGATGGTGGTGGTGGTGGTGAGTGATGGTGATGATAACGACAGCGGTGATGATTATGATTGCGAATTTTATACTGTCCCGTGGGACCAAATTGTCAATGATGAAAAAGATTTAGATAGACCGTGGAGAATCTTATACTATTACTACTACTACTACTACTACTACTACTACTACTACTACTACTACTACTACTACTACTACTACTACTACTACTACTACTACTACTACTACTACTACTACTACTACTACTACTACTACTACTACTACTACTACTACTACTACTACTACTACTACTACTACTACTACTACTACTACTACTACTACTACTACTACTACTACTACTACTACTACTACTACTACTACTACTACTACTACTACTACTACTACTACTACTACTACTACTACTACTACTACTACTACTACTACTACTACTACTACTAGTATTATTATTATTATTAATAATTATAATTATAATATAAATAATTATTATTGTTATGGTATGNTATGGTATGAAGTAGTAGTAGTAGTAAGTAGTAGTAGTAGTAGTAGTAGTAGTAGTAGTAGTAGTAGTAGTAGTAGTAGTGTAGTAGTACCACCACGTTCTAGGTTTCACAAAGTTTTGAACTAGCAAGTGCACGGAGGTTAAATGGATTGGTAGTGGGTGGGGCTTATTTCAAATTATAACAGTACCAACCAATCAGATTTCACTGGATATATATATATATATATACGCTGAATATATGTAATATATATATATATAATATATGTATATATTTATATATTGTATACATATATAAAAAGCCATAAATATTTTTTTGTTTAAAGAGTTTATTGATTACTGTTCTCTTTGCCTGTTGGTTATATAAAAATTGATAAAAAGTTATAATAAAATAAATTTTATTATTATTCAAAAAATAATTACATGAATTGTTGATGAGAATAATATATTTTTATAGAATTAGAATGGTTATTTGACAATTTTATGTATATTTATCACTGGATGGATAAGTTATTTTACCCCGGTTTCTATTTATAAACTCCCCATTATAAAAGTTTGGTTTTTTGACGAGGATTTTTATTGGCTGATGAAGATGCCATGCCACTGAGGGCTTCATTCCTATTGGCTGCCCTCTTCTTTGCTACACTTTCCAGTTATTCCGGTGCTTGTATCGTTGTTATTAATATTTGTTTATTGAAATTTGCACTTTTAATTGTTTCAATGTTAAATTCTCTCTCTCTCTTTCTCTCTCTCTCTCTTATCTCTCTCTTTCTTCACCTTCTCGCTTTCTTATTCTTTCTATCTCTGCTCTCCAAGACTCCGGATGTAGGGACGGAACGACGGAGGCCCTCCAGAACGGACACCATCTAAAAATAGCCGCCTGCAGAGGAAAATGGACAGGTCACGTGTCCAACGCCACTTCCGGATTGTGCGCTTCCGGTTGGCGGGTATGTTCGTGGATGGATTCGAAGATGTTGAGGACCATTCATTGGATGGAGGCCATGCAAATATCAGGTTGCGATGATGATGATGTTGGGTAATTATGATGATGATGACGATGATGACGTTTTTAAGGTTGTTATGCCTTCAACGCGGCGCAAGACAGGTTCGATTGTCGGCCTTGTACAAACAATCCTCATCAAGTTGAGTCAGATTTCGTTCGTTCGTTCGTTCGTTCGTTCATTATTTTTTTCAGTCTTTTCACTTTTTCTTCCATTTATAATTTACAAACTTTTCACTAAGTTATTTATAAAGTTATGAACTTAGTCCTTTCTCTATTTAGCCATTCGTCCATTTTTTAATATTGAATTTGTTTTTCTCTACCAACAATTCACTCCATCATATTTCGTTCCATCATTCTTTTATTCCTTCACTTTTTTTATTTTTTTACTCTTTCACTGAGTTATTTTTTTATTTCTTCATTGTTTCATTCCATCGCTCCCAGGACAACATGGCGGGCATAGGAAACAGGTGCTTGAGGTCCCACTACGGCGGAACCTCTTGCATAAGCGGGGGTCGCATGGAGGTCACGTGTTGTCAGGACTCCCTATCGCGAACTACCCCTCCCTGTACCTACCGCCAGAACCCCTCTCTTACTATTTCCGGTGTGATCTGCTGCAAAACATCCGATAGGGCCCCCAAAATCCTCTCGCATCCGTCCCCGCTAGTACACGTGACATCCGGCAAATCTTTCGTCCTATCGTGTTTCACTTCGGGACAGCCGGAACCAAGCGTCGTGTGGCTCAAAGATGACGTCATTATTGATTTTTCAAAAGCTGGCGATAGGGTGTCCACGTTCGAGAGTGGGTACCTCGTGGTGGCCGATGGTCGGGAAAGGGACGGTGGGAGGTACAGGTGCATGGCGAAAAATAGGGCCGGCCTTGTTTATTCAAAAAGTTCCCAAGTTATTGTTAGAGGTGAGTTTATGCATTCTGTTAGAGAGTCAAGATAATAAGGTTGTTGTTGTTGCTGCTGTTGTTGTTGTTGCTGTTGTTTATTATTGTTTGTATCATTTGTTGGCGTCGTATGTTGTGCGTCACTCCATCCATCCTTCCGTCCTTACTTCCTTCTTCCCTTTCCTACATTTATTCATTCACACATTCAATTGTTTCGGCGTGGTTTATTTTTCTGTTATTCATTTCTTTATTTATTCCTTTATTCATTCCTTTATTCATTCGTTCATTCATTCGTTTATCCATTTAATCGTTTGTTCATTTATTCATTTGTTCGTTCGTTCGTTCGATTAGTGATTCAAACAATTAAGAATTTATTTAAATATCTATACAGCTATCGGTTTTTGTCGTAATTAACTCGTCTTTTCTATCATTAATTCATAATTCATTCATGCATTTGCTCACTTATTCATTCATTCATTCATCCAACCATTCATTCATTCAGTCATTCATTCATTCAATCATTCATTCATTCACTTCACGAAGATTACAAATCAGGTTGTCGTAGTGGACGAACGGCTGGATTGTTTCAGTATGAAAATATACATGCTTGTAACGGTACCCTTCATTTCAATCATCATCACCTCCACCACCACCATCGTCGTCATCATCATCACCCTCATCATCATCCCCATCATCTCAAGGTCACTGGAAAGGTCACATCAAAAGGTCAGGCACTGACCTCTGCCGCAAAGGCTGGTCAGTTTGCGACCCAAGTCACGTGGGCAGCATAAAAATGATCACGTGGTATGATGTCACACATCTCAAAGGCTGCTACGCTTACAATGCGGCCAATTATATGGGGCTATGCTTGCCGTTAGTGTAAAAATCTACAGTACACATTATTATTGTTGTTGTTACTATGGTTTTTGTTGCTTGACAAATTGTTTCTATTTCTATTTTTTATTGTTCAATACACACACAAACACACACACACACACACAGTTGCACAAACGGACGTATGTCTGGAGTTGGATCAGACTGCCAAAAAAGAACCCTCTCAGAACCATCATGCCTCGTCGAAGGCAGCGTACAAATCCTAAATAGCAGCAAAACCAACGAATTTCGGTATAATAACCGGAATAACAGACTCGGTTGTCATCACCGATCGGTCAGTGGAGCTGTTAGTGGCGTTCTCTGCTGTCGAAACTCCGTCAAAACCGGTGCGTGTGTGTATCCGTGTGCGTGTGTGTGTATTGAATAATAAAAATAGAAATCTATACGTCAAACAACAACAACCATAATAATAACAATAATAATAATGAGAACATCCTTTTATTTTCTAACTCCAAATACCAAATAATAATAATAATAATAATGACTACATGGACAACAACAATAAAAAACAGCCTGGCGGCCACCGAAATGTCAAAGGGGATGTGCCAACGATGGGGTCTGCGTATCCGACGGTAGGTGCCTCTGCAGGGGGGGTTACGAGGGAAAGTGGTGTCAAACCCGTAAGTGTGTGTACGTGTGTGTGTGTAGGTTTGTGCGTGTATGTGTAGTTTGTATGTGTAGGTTTGTGTGTGTAGGTTTGTGTGTGTATGTGAATAAATTATATGTATGTGAGTTGTGATAGAAGGAGATTTTACATTTTATCATTATTTTACACGAATAAATGAACAAATGAATGGATGAATGACTCATCAACCGATCAATCATTCAGTTAATCAACCATTAATTCATTCAATTAATCAATCATTCAGTTAATCAACCACTCACTAATTCAATCAATCATTCAATTAATCAATAAATCATCCAATCAATCATTCAATCAATAAACCAACCGACCAATCAGCAACTTGCGTCGGCGGTTGCATACAAAACTCCGAATGCTTCAAACCAAATCAATGCCGCTGCCTAAAGGGTTACTACGGCCCCCATTGCAAATTAGTGGAACGGTGGAAGAACAGGACGAAAGCAAGGATGAATAAAAGTAGAAGAAAGAATTCTAAAAGGAATAAAATTCTCTTTGGAACAACGAAACACGAAAAATCTTTATCTAAAAAACGAACTAAAATATCGAAACATGACCGAAATAATTAACAACTCTTATGCTATGAACACACACGCACACATACACACGCACAAATAACAACAATTTTTTTCTATCATTTACTGTATATTTTATTTTAAAATCCTTCAATTCATTCGTTCATCTTGTCTCAAAAATTTCAATAAATATAACTAACAATGACGCTGTTGCTGTTAATGTTATTATTATTATTGTTATTATTATTATTGAAACAAGTACAAACAAACAAACTAACAAACAACAACAACAACACACGTTTAGACGACATTTTCCCCGAGATCGGGGGTTGCCGTTTGGCTACCTATGATGAAACCGAAATACCCCTCGACGCCATCCACATCTGTCACTCGCCTCAGTATCACGCAACCCCGCTTTCACCCTGTCCTTCTCCACCTGCTCTTTCCATCCCAATCGCGGACGACCCCTTCCTACCACTCCTTCAACCTCGAACTCGAACGCTTGCCAAACAAACAAACAAACCTATAAAATATATACTAACACATATAAAACAGCAGCAACAACAAATGCTAACAGCAAACGGATGCTTATTATAGAAAAACAAAGAGGAGATAGATAGATAGATAGATAGACAGACAGACAGATAGATAGACAGATAGATAGATAGAGAGAGAGAGAGAGAGAAAGAGAGAGAATAATTGAGTGAATGAACGGATGAATGAACGAACGAATGAATGAAATACAAAATATGAATGACATTGGTTGATCGTTTGGTTATTTTGTTATCATCAGATTGAAGCTGGCAAGCTTTTAAGAGAAAAATCGTCATAATAATAACAATAATAATAATAATAACAATAATAATAACAATTTAATACTTATAATTCACATTTGTTGAACCTAGTAATCGCCATAATTCATCAAAGTCAATCAGTAAATCCAATAATTAGTTTATCACTATTTATAAACAATTCCATGAATGAATGAATGAATGAATGAATAAATAGATGAAAGAATGAATAGATGAATGAATGAAAGAATGAGAAAATGAATTAACAAATGAGTAAACGATTTGACAATTAGTTTCTCTAATAATAATTACTAAACAAGCAAACAAACAAACCAACCAACCGATCGACCACTCAAACATTCTTTCATTCTTTCATTCATTCATTCATTCATTCACTCACTCACTCATTCCTTCATGCATTCATTCAATAGCTAAATTAATTTCTATATTCCTTTATTTGTTCATTCAGGATTTTAACTCCTTCATTCATTTCTTCATCCCCCTTTTTCATTCCTTCATTCCGGAGCTTAATTCCTTCATTCTATTGAGAGCACTTCCGGCTCTGAACCACTCAATCTGCATGGCGTTGAAGGTGTGGTTGAGGGCTATGACGTCACTACTTCCGTCTTTGTGCTTCAGTCTGCACTCCAGTGGCTGATTGGTTAGTTGGTCGGTTGGTTGATCGTTGGTTGGTTGGTTAAATATTTGATTGACACAACGCCAAGAACAATAATGAATGACAACTATAAAGACAACAAGCATGATTAACTGAGTAATTAATTAATTAATTAATTGATTAATTAATTAGTAGATTAATTAATTAGTAGATTAATTGGTTTAGTGACTGATTAGACGGCTGAATAGTTGATTGATTGACAAATTAAATGATTGATTGATTGATTGATTGATTGATTGATTGATTGACTGATCAACAACAACAACAACAATAAAAAACCACCTTCTCGGGTGCAAACGAGTCGAGACCCAAGATCGAAATCCTGTCATCAATTTGAACTTTCTCATAATCGGCAGGATTAGCAAAGGTCAAAGGTAACATCCCTTGTTTCTTTAAATTTGTTTCTGGATGAATGAATGGATGAATGAATGAATGATGGATGGATGAATGAATGAATGGAAAGAAAGATAAGTAGATAGATGCATAAGGTAATAGGCGATTGAAAGAAAAAGATGATAAAATAAATTGAATCAATAAGTCAACCATCATTCATTCATCCATTCACTTATTCATTTATTCACTAATTAATTCATTCACCCCCCTATTCACTCATTCATTCACTCGCTCGCTCATTCATTTTTGCGTGCACTCGACCAACCGACCGACCATGAATCCTGGCAAAACTCTTAACGATGATGGCTCGCCCGCCAAGGTGTCTGGGTTCGAGGGCAGCGTGCTCCCTGCTGCTACCCTCCCCGTAATTCTCCTCCCCGACGGCCACCCAATCAACGCCCTTCACCTTAGTAATAATAATAATAATAATAATAATAATCCTCATTATCATCATCCTTATTATTATTACTATGAACATTGAGACATCGATTCATCTATTCATTCATTCGTAATAATAATCACAACACATCATCATCATCATCACCACTATCATCATCATCCCCTTCACCGTCATCATCATCATGACCACCTTGTAATTTCTCGCAACGGCTGGTACGGCGCCATATTCGCCGGTCAGCTGGTTTTTTACCTTGTTCATTTCGTTGTTGTCCGAGTTGATGGCTCTGTTTGATTGGTTGGTTGGCTGGTGATGTCGTTTGATTGGTTGGTTGATAACGCCATGTGATTGGTTGGTTGGTTGATGACGTCGTTCGATTGGTTAGTTGGTTGATGACGCCGTGTGATTGGTTGGTTGGGTTGTTTACGAGTTGAGTGGTATATCGGTTGATTGATTTGTGATGAGTGAACGAATGATTTTTATAAATGATTGGTTGATTCGTTAATTAATTGATTCATTTTAATCGTTTCGATTCAACCAACCAACCAATCAGACAGTCAGTCAATCAATCAGCTAATCAACTCGATGAAAACTTCACTAACGTAATGAACATGTTATTAGAAATATTATCCAGATGACCTCTGAACTTTAACCACTTGCCAGCCGGGCTTATATCGTCCGTAGTGCATTTGCCCTTCACCTTGAATAAATTTGCATAAATTAACATATATTTTCATGAATTAACAGAGAAATATTTGCATTCATAAAGAGAAATAAATATAGAAACGCCCAAAATGAATAATATTTTCATAATTAATTCATAAAACCAATCCTAACCTTGATCAGGATCGGAAGGTCCAGTAAATCCTGTCCGTCCCACTTTTTAAATGGACTCAAAAGTTGCAGACGATCACTTTTGAGGTCCACCTCCACCTTCAAGAGACTTCCGTCGCAAGGGGGGGCCTGGTAGGTGTCCTGGCCGGGGTCAAACCCCTTCGAGGGAAGTTCGTCGCCAGATGGACTGGTTAGTTTGAACTTTGAACCTGCGCGCAGGAGGTTGTGACGAGTAAATAAATCATTGTCCTCATCGCCATCATCATCATCATCACAATCGTCCTCATTACAAACCATCGGTAGCAGTCAGGTAGTCAGATAGGGGGTTGAAATCCAGGCGGCCCTCGATGACCAGGGCGGTGACCATTTCTGGGGAGGCCACGAACGCGTGGGTAGAGGGGTTGCCGTCGTTTCGGCCCTTAAAATTTCGGTTGTATGACGTCACGATGGTGTTTTTCTCCCCCGTTCTGAAATCGTCCCTAGATGGATGGATAGATAGATGGATAGATAGATGGATGGATAGATGGATGAATAAATAGATGGATGGATAGATGGATGGATGAATAGATGGATGAATAGATGGATAAATGAATCAATCAAACAACCAACCAACCAACCAACCGACCGACCTTTTCCACTGGCCGATACAGGGCCCACAAGCGTTGGCAAGAACCAGACCGCCAAACTCCCTCAATATCTTTGCCTGTGTAATCATCATCATCATCATCACGATCATCATCATCATCACGATCATCATCATTATCATCACGATCATCATCATCATCGCAATCATCATCATCATCGTCAGTCTTCAAATCCTAACCTGGCCATCACGTTCGATGGTGGCCCTTATCTGCTCCGACCCCGGCGTTATGGTGAAAGGGACCTTGGCCTTCAACCCCTTCTGGAGGGCCTGCTTGGCCACGGCCACTGCCCTGTTCATGTCCTCGTAGCTGCTGTTCGTGCAGCTACCAATCAGACCTGTGGTCGGTCGTAATGACGACGTTTGTCATGTGATCAACAACAATAATAATAATAACAATAATAATAATAATAATTATAATAATAATAATTTGACCCTGACCTACGGATATATTCAGGGGCCAGCCCTTACTCTTGGCGTTCTCTCCCAACTTCGAGATGGGGTTTCCTAGATCGGGCGTCATGGGGCCATTCAAGTGCGGCTCAAGCTGATTGGTCGGTTGGGTGGTTGAGTGGGTGGGTGGGTATGTAGTTGATTTTCAAGTTGATTGGGTAATTAGTAGAATATCGTAGATAGATTGATTGGTTGATCAAATAATTGGTCAATTAAATTATCAACTCTCAATCAATCATTCAATCAGTTAATTGATCACTTAGCCAACCAACCAATAACTAAAAATTCTATCAATCAATCAATCAACCAATCAATCAACCATTCAATTAATCATTCAATCAATCTATCAATCAATCAACCAATCAATCAACCAACCAACCAACCAACCAACCAACCAACCAACGATACAGCGAACAACTCACGGTATTAAGATCAATATGAATGACTCGGTCGTATTCGCACCTCTCGTCTGCCTGGAGAAGTTTCAACCTGTAACCGTCAGCCTCAGAGGAAATTTCTAGAACATTCGATAATAATAATAATAATAATAATAATAAAGATAATAATAATAACAATAAAACAACAATGAGAAGGCTTTTATTTTCCGAAAAAACACGAAATGAATAAAATATTAGTATAAAAATGAAGTGCATTATGAATTGAAATGAATGATAATCTACATTACTCGCCATAAAACAAATGGATACAAAGAGAAATCAAAACGGTATTGGACATAGTTCAAATTGCCTTTTTGTCACAGTAAATAACCTACGATGACGCTAATAATAATAATAACAAAACAATAAAAACAACAACTACAATAATAATAACAATAAAAAAATAATAATAAATATAAACCAGCGCCGTCGTCACTTACGTTGCCTGTTCGTTGATTCCAGGTACTTTTTCATCCGACCGTTGTAAGGGAACACCGATGTCGTTGCCCCAATTTCAGCGCCCATGTTACAAATCGTCGCCATTCCTGTTGAATCGAAGCCACCCCCAAAAAAAGATACTAAATAGCAATAAAAAAGGATACAAAAAAAAGATAGCCCGTAAGGCAAGAACTGCCGTAAAAATAGACAAAACAACAACTCCCAACGGAAGGAAATAATATAACGACGCCCCAAAAAAAGATACAAAATAAGACCGACCAGTACAGGAAATAGAATCAACCCCAGGTCCGAAATATTCAACAATGGCGCCTGTTCCGCCTTTAACGGTCAAAATGTCCGCCAGTTTCAAAATTATGTCTTTAGGGGATGTCCATCCATTCAGTGAACCTGTCAGGTTGACTCCAATGACCTGAAATTCATTCATCCATTCATTCATTTATTCATTCATTCATTCATTCAAACAATCAATCAATCAATCAATCAATCGACTAACATTAGGGCATTTAAGTTCCCAAGGAATATTTGCCATGACGTCAACGGCGTCCGCCCCGCCAACGCCGATGCACAGGCCACCCAGTCCACCTGGTGACATGAATAAATTATGAGAACATTATGAATAAATTATGATAATGCAGCAGGCCTACCTCCATTCGGGGTGTGGCTATCGGTGCCAATCAGCAAAATTCCTGGGAAGGCATAGTTCTCTAGAACTATCTATAAACAAATGAGCAAATCAACGTCACCGTCATCATCCCCATCATCATCATCATCAGCATCATCACCGTCATCATCATCATCATCATCACCGTCATCATCATCATCACGACCTGATGAATAATCCCACTTCCGGGTTTCCAGAATCCGACGCCATACTTGGCACCAGCTGATGAAAGAAACTCGTACACCTCTGCATTCACTTCCTTTCAACGGTTGATTGATAAAATGAATGAATGAGTGAGTGAATGAATGAATATATTAATGAGTGAACGATAGTCTGCCAGACTCAACCAATCAGATCCTAACCATCCAACCAATCGACCAATCACCTTAGCCTTAGAAAGATCCTTATCTCCGCCCACATAGGCCTCGATCAAGTGGTCACAATGAATCGTCGAGGGCACGGCCACCTTGGGCAGGCCACTGGAAATAAACTGCAACATGGCCATCTGGTGTGTGGGGGAGAAGAGGGAACACTCATTCCACTACTTATAAGAAATTTCGATGCTTATAAGTACATGCACTGACAAAAAGTATTCAAGTATAGAGTATATAAAATTTATAAAGACGATATTTTACAAATACTCAAGTGATATAAGTATTCGTGTAAAATTTTTGCTACTTAAGTACGTACTCCAGTACATATGCACTTACGCACGTACTCTTACGTACGTAATCCAAGTACAAATGTACCTAAGTACTCGCCACCAACCTGAGCAGTAGCATCTTGCATGGCGACTCGATCAGGCCTTAGCTTCAGATAGCTGACGCCTCTTTTTATATCCTGTATTTGTCATCGTCATCATCATCGTCGTCATCATCATCATCGTTTATAAAATGTTGTTAGTGATTTTAAGTATAAAGTCAGAAGATAAAGTCGATAGTTCTGATGATGATGACGATGATGATGATTAAGAAAGATTATTAAAAATGATAACAATGACGACGACGAATGTTTGTGATAATGATTGCAACCTGATTGGCTGGGTCGTCTAGATGGCTGTAGAGAATTTTTTCCGAAAGCGTCAATGGCCTATTGAGTCTAAAAAAAAATACAAATAATAAAATAAGTAAAATAATAATAATTCTGAAAACTTGATTTTAAATGAATTTAACTTTTAGTTGCTTCCTTTTTTTTAAAATAAAATATTAAAGAAATTTATTTTATTTTAATTATTTCTTTACTTTTTTTTGACAATTTTTAAATTCTGGTCAAGCTTCTCGTAAGGTAGATATTTATCAGCGTCAAATCTACTGATGGCAGTCTAGTAAATAAATAAATAAATAAAGACAAAATTTATTATATTTTGTTAAATGTTATAATTAGTAGTTAATATTTTAAATTAATTAATAAATAAATATATAAAATAAATAATAACTAAATAATAATTACGTGAGCGTAGGCAGCTCTCGATCCAGACACTGCAAACCTCTGCAAGTATAATTTCTTAACATTTCCCAGCACAACATTCCTGCCGGGACTGAAAATCTGACATAATTATAATATAATAAGATTTGATGGAATTCCTCTTGTGTGTGTGTGTGTGTGACATTGAGTAACATTGATCACAATTTAACGCAATTATAAACATTTGTCAACCTACTTTAGCTTTAAAATATTAAAAATAATTAATTATTAATTAATAAATTCAATATTTTAGCAATCGAAATTACCTTAAAAACGTGCATTTTTAAGAAAAACTTCAATATTAGAATCCACGGAGCCGAAAACAATAAGTTAAGTCATCAGCGTAAATAAAATTATTAACATTTTTTTAAATGTAAACTTAAGTGCAAATTATTAATTGATGGTTTTTAACTGTTTTAATCAAGGGGAGGCCTATTTACCAGCATACAGCACCTTCTTATGGGTTGAAGCAGGGATATGCAAAAAATCTCAATTTTTTCAACTTTTAATTATTTTCAGTAATGTCTCCCCTTGCTCCAAACCACATAATTAGAATTATAGGACTAATCGATCAATTCGATCTATCGGTCGGGCTATTTGTCGTGCTTGGATTGTTGGCTTACGAAATTGCATGGATTTTAACGAGCAAGCTAAATGAAATATTTACTTCATTTAATATGCTTAAAACATTGTAGTAATTCTATTTAATTTTAATAATGATTAATAAAATTATGTATTATTAAATTATTTTTATTAATTTGAATATAAAAATTGCTTTTGGTCCGGTGAAATTCGGTGGCTTACTGAAGCCGAAGGTTGGCTTACTAGGATTGAGCTATAGTCGCACTTTTTTTAAACTATTTGATCATGTTAAAAATTTGTTTGCTTGTGAAATGAACGGCCTAAATAGATCAAAATTGTTATTTGAACAACTTTCTTCATTATAATCAATAAATATTTTACATTCTGCTGGTGCTCGCATAGAAATTGGTTGCTGAAATCATACGTTGGCTAACTGGTGGCTTACGGGTTTCACTGTGTCATGGCGGTTTTCTGTACATATAATGCTTTAAATAAATCAATATATTTATATCACAATTATTTTTATCAATATAAATATAGAAATTGCTTTTGTCTGTTGAAAAACAGTGGCTTACTGAAGCCGTAAGTTGGCTTAATCGGATTTTTTTGCATGTATACAATAATATGAGATCAATTAATCAATCAATAATCAATCAATCGATCGATCGATCGATCGATCAATCAATCAATCAATCAATCGATCAAACAATCAAATAATCAATCAATCAACCAATCAACCAATCAACTAACCAATTATAAAAACGAAAAAAAAAAAAATAAATATTTGCAAGGCTTGTTCAAACTTGAACAAACACCTAACCGTTCAGATCTACAAACAATTTCGAGATTTTAGTAAAGAATGAAAAACACAATAGTTGCTTTTATTTGAATTCTTTCAAAAATGGAAAGTGACGGTTAATTAAAATTATAAAAACGACAATTTTTTAAAAAATTCAAATTTTAAACAAATAAATATAACAAAATATCGACTGATAAAAAATAATTATTATCCATTATTATTATACACACTCCTTAGTAGTTCTCAGAGAATGATTCACGTAACATGAACATTTAGTAAGAACAGTTCACAACATATCATAATGGCTAAATCAACATGCCAAACAGAAATTATTTATACATGCATATATACAAAATAAATCAAGAAATATCCAAAAATTATATAACCAAATTAAAAAAAATAGAAACGAGTCAACATTTAATAAATTAATGAATAAATGGACATTATTAAAAAGATTGTTCAAAAAGGCGACGACGAGAATGAAATGTAGTTTGTTTTGTTGGTGTGGTGTTGCGAAGCGAAAACAAACACATCACACAAAACTAGTAAGAAGTTGCAAGAATAGTAGTCAGTCACCTACCTACAATTAAATTACTCTCAGGGCCCTGGCTTACTTATAATCATTAACTCAACTCACCTACCTACAAATTTGTATTTCTACGTTTTAGGAATTTTACATGTTTCAGGTATTTTATTTAACATATTTTAGTGTTTTTATTTTACTTGAAACTTTTTAACTAATGTTAAGCCCTAGCCTACTTAAGATTGTTCAACTCATCTCAATCCCTAACTTACCTATGAATTAAATTAAGTCCGGTAAAGAAAATAGAAAGTTGAAGAGAAACATAACAACGACACCGAATGAATGGATGTTGCGTATGTGTGTGTTGATGTGTGTGTGTGTAAATGTGCGCGCGTGTACTCTCCAGACACTTCTTATCGTCATATTCAAATTGTCATCGGAACGATCACCTTGAGACCACCATCCGAAAAGTGCTGACGCCCACCACAACCCACCTCTCATCATTCTGTAGACAACATTTTTTATTAGCGTAGTAGTAAATGAATGTTAGAATCTTAGAAGAAAAAATTATAAAATGAAAATAATGGCAAATAAATAATATTTCAAAATAATAAAGAGAGTAAAATATAAAAAAAACTTACTTTCGTCCAATCGACAAAGGCAGAATGTTGAATGCCTGAGTGAGTGAATGAATTAATTAAGTAATCAATCAATGATTCAATGATTAAAAAAATAAATTAATGGAAAAATAATTTGAAAGATTGAGTGATAAAATGAACGAATGAACGAATGAATGAACGAATGAACGAATGAATGAATGTATGAATGAATGAGAAAAATTAAAAGACGAAACTAAACCTTACTTCAAAAATCGTCGTTACTGCACTCGATTGCACCGACCACCATCATCTGGTCGGCACACAAGATTTCATCCGAACTTCAGTGTCAGCCGAACAGCCAACGAGCTGATTCTTCCTACACCACCATCATTATGTTTAAATCATCATGAGACCACCATCTGAAACGTGCTGACTCCCACCTCTGCCCACCTCTCATCATTCTGTAGACAAAATTTTTTAATTAGCGTAGTAGTAAATGAATGTTAGAATCTTAGAAGCAAAAAATTATAAAATGAAAACAGTGGTAAAATAGTATTTTAAAATAATAATGAGAGTAAAATGTATAAAAAATTTACCGTCGTCCATTCGACAAAGGCAGAATTTTGAATGCGGTCCGGTTCCTACGTTGTCCTCCAAAACTGGTGCAAGTCCCCCGAGATTCTTGTTGAAACACAGCCCGTGGGATGGAAAAAGATAAAGAGAAGATTCTCATCAGAAAGCTTAGCGGTGCCTGCATCTCTAATTGCTTAATAAAAATAATCCTATCTACCTATTCAATTAACTTAACTAATCTATATAAAATTGTTAATGGTACGATAGTCGAAAGTCCCCCTTCATTCTCCCTCCTTGCACAGAGGTTCACCGACAGCCAGAGCACCGGATAGTAAACCATTGCCGTGCGGATAGTAGACTATTGCCGTGCGGATAGTAAACCATTTGCCGTCCGGAAGCCGTGCGGGTAGTAGACTATGGCCGTGCCGCATAGTAAATCATTACCGTGCAGTTAGTAAACCATTGCCGTCCGGATAGTAAACCATTGCCGGTTACTGGCCACCAAAGCTTACCTCCGACAACGGACTTTGAAATTCAGAGTCTATCGGCTATCGTACCCTCAACTTACCTATTCATTACAATTAAGCCCTAGCTTACTTAAAAATTACAAAACTCAAGAGCCCAATTCATTGGCCAATTGGCACCCACCCCACCACCTACGTAATGCCTTGGGCTCCAACTTAGTAATAATAACATAAAACTTAAACATAAACCCTAAATCTATTAATGAGTATGTGTTACAACGTAGCCTTAACTTACCTATTCATTACATTATGGCCCTAGCTTACCTAAAATTACAAAACTCAAGAGCCCAATTCATTGGCCTTTCGGCACCCACCCCACCACCTACGTAATGCCTTGGGCTCCAACATAATAATAATAATGTAAAAATTAATAATTAACCTACCTATCGATACACTTACAGCGTTTTAATTTACATTACAAGATTGTTCCTAGAATTACATTATTGCCCTTAACTACCTATGAAATTAAATTACTCTCAGCCTTAGTAATAATAAATTAGAATGTGTAATGAAAATAAAATTACGCTCAAATACTAACATATGTGTTTATGTATGTATTTGTGTGTAATACGCTGATGCGTGTAATGTGGGTGCAAGAAAAAAATAGAAGCGATAAACTTACGCGCCTACCTATTCAACTACATTAGGGTGGGATGCTTCCTATCTATCCTACCTACAATTAAAATTATGCCTATCTAACCTACCTATATAGCTACTTAATGTAATTGTGTGTGCGTGTGTGTGCGTGTGAGCATTCTTACTTAATGTTAAATTACAGAGAAAAAAGAATAAAACGTATCCCAGCCAGGCGTGTATTCTTTGCCACTGAATGAACGAACGTAGCCTGACATCCTCGATGATGAACTCCTCTGGAAGCTTCAACCTGAATAAAATGAATGAAACGAAAAAATCTCATTTATTTAATTTAAATGAAAATAGAGAAACGAGCCGCGGTGAAACCCGCCAGCCGAAAAAGCCAGCCAACTGGCAAAGAAAGGGACCGCAAAGAAACCGTAAAACGTACCCCAGCCAGTCGTGCATTTTTTCATTCTTTGCCAATGAATGAACGAACGTAGCGTGACATCACAACCACTCTGATCTTCCATGATGAACTCCTCTAGAAGCTTCAACCTGAATGAATGAACCTGAATGAACCTAAATGAATGGAAAAGTCTTATTTATTCAATAA